GCTGCTGTTGCTCTCCCTTCTCCATGGCAATAGCCTGTCCATCCCCAGAGAGTCCTCCTCCTGTGCTCCCTAAGGATCATTCTGGGGAAGTACCTACTTCACTGCTCTGGCGAGATGTTTTAGGCTCACTTTCCTTCTCTCTGAACCTTTCTTGAACTTCTGACTTTGTTCAAAGCTAGAGTTTTAGTGACCATCTCTCTCAGATCACATGCCGTGGATGGAAGGGAATGGGTGTCCTCAGGGTGGGCCCTTCTGCTTCAAATGCAAACCCTTTCTGCATTGAAGAGAATGCCATAAAGAGAGGAGTCCCACCTGATCTCATTGTTCAAGGTCTAAAGGTGGAACTTGCTTTAGCAGCAGCCAGCGCTTCACTGCATTGATTCCTTTCTCTGGGTCACCACATCCTACTGCTGGATGCGGTGGCCTGCTCTCTGGGTTCACTTAGTCATACACCACTTATCCATAACTACTGTGGGTTTGCAGGATCGAAGCACTGCCCTATTTTTCTTAATCATATTTTGAAAATGTTACAATCAAATAGAGCACATTTTTGCATCCAGATGGCAGTTTTTAAGGCTAAAAGCATATAGTTCTCAAAAACTGAGGCAAGAATCAAAACCCCTACATCTAAAGAGATGGCAGCATGCTATTACAGTCACGTCTTGGGCACATGTCCCCACGTGTGAAGCATGAACAGCCTCTCTCACAGCTATCCTGAGGAGGCATTACCCGCTATGCTCTGTTCAAGTGCTAGTGGCCTCCAAATGGAGCCTCTTGCTTCCCAGAAGGAATCTGCAGCAGCCTCTGTCTCCCAGGTCCTCACTGAGCTCATGACAACCCACTTCGTCTGCTCTACGCTCATGACTGTCAACCGGTGTGCCATGAGAGGATCTTAGGTGCACTGCAAACAATTTTAAGGATCATTAAGTAAATTGTTCTTGAAGTAAATTCAAAGCACAGGAAGTATCTGCTTTTTTTCAATCTTTTTTTTTTGATCAGCATAATTTAAGTGTGCCATAGAAGTTTAACTATAGGTTCAAGTGAGCCGTGAGATAAAAAAGAGTGACAAACATGGTTCCATGCACTCATCTCATGGGGGCCAGACCCAGCGGGTTGCTTCCCATCTTTGAATTCTCATGTCCTTGTTTATCTTGTAATACTCACAGGAACTGCGCTCAGGCCTCCGTGCTCACTCTCATGGAACTTGGGTACTTGGAACCTTCAGTTTTCCAGTATCCTCCAGGCTTTTGAGTCTTTTTTTTTTTTTCTAATTGTGATGAAATATACGTAACATAAATAGAATCAAATCTGAAAAAGAAAAAAATATATGTGATGTAAAGTTGACTTTCATCTGTAAGTGTACACTTCATGGCACATTCACATTGTTGTTCAGTTCTCCAATTTACTTATCATCTCACACAGAAACTCTGGCCCCATTAAACAGTCATTCCCCATTTCCCCTCTCGCCCAGGCCCTGGTCATTTATCTTTTCCCTACATCTGAATCGGACTATTCTAGGAATCTCATGTAAGTAGAATCCTAAGTATTTGTCCTTTTGTGACTGGCTTCTTTCCCTGAGCATAAAAGTTCAAGTTCATGCATGTTATAGCAGGTGTCAGCATTTCCTTTTATGGCTGGATATTTCATTGTACAGATGGACCACATTTTGCTTATCCAGTCTCCCTACTTGGTCTTGAAGACAACCTTCCTCTGTATTTTTACTATATCTGCACTCATTGTCTTGAAGTATCTGGACCCTCTTACGATCCCTTACTATTATGGGCTGAATGTTTGTGTCTGCCCAGCATTGCTGTGTTGAGGCCCTAACCCCCAGTGTGGTGTATTTAGCAGTGGGGACTTTGGGAGGTGATTAGGGTTAGGTGAGGTCCTGAGAGTAGGACTGTCGTGATGAGATTAGTGCTTTTATGAGTAGAGACACCAGAGAGGTCTCTTCTTCAGACCTATATCTGTGTTCTTTTCTGCTTTCCGAACATATTAGGTATACAAGATGTTTCAGATGTGCGGCCCAGCTCCCTGGTTCTGGTGATCTACACCTTGCTTGCCCAGACTCCTCACCCTCAACACACCTGGGCATGTAGCATGGACAGGTTTTTTTCGAAGGTGACCACCTTGCTGGAATCTTGGGAGCCTGACATTAAGTCTGGGGGTTTTAGGGATGTGTGTCAGATTGGGGCAGGGCACCCATCACGATATCTAGATGGCAGATCCCTTCATCCCAGCAATGGCAAATGGATGAAATCTGGGAGACTTTCTGGAACAGCAGAGAGCACCAGCCCCACTGGCTGACCTCGGCAGCTGCATCCTGGCAGGCTCTTTCAGTTCAGTTTGACTTGCTAAGTACAGGTTATTTGGAGCAAGTTTTTTCCTTAACTCATGTTTGCAAAAATTTATTTTTATTTATATTTCTGCTGTCCCTAATTTTTTAGATAATGAACATATATTTTAGGCTGAGCATGGTGGCTCACTCTGGGAGGCTCAGGTGGGAGGTCTGCTTGATGTCTGCAGTTTAAGCCAGCCTGAGCAAGAGCAAGAGTGAGACCCCGTCTGGACAAAAATAAAAAAATTAGCGTGACCTGATGGTGTGTGTAGTCCCAGTTACTTAGGAGGCTGAGGCAAGAGGATCGCTGTCCATTTTCTTTTTTCTTCTTCCTTCAATACTACTCCTTTATCAGATATATAATTTGCAGGTTTTTTCTCACATTCTGTGGGTCATCATTCCACTTTCTTGATGATAGCCTTTGAAGCAAAACAGTGTTTAATTTTTTTTTTTTTTAATTTTTTTATTTTTATTTTTATTTTTTTGAGACAGAGCCTCAAGCTGTCCCCCTGGGTAGAGTGCCATGGCATCATGCTCACAGCAACCTCCAACTCCTGGGCTCAAGCGAGTCTCCTGCCTCCGCCTCCCAAGTAGCTGGGACCACAGGCGCCCGCCACAACGCCCGGCTATTTTTTGGTTGCAGCCATCATTGTTGTTTGGCGGGTCCGGGCAGGGGATTCGAACCCGCCACCTTAGGTGTACGTGGCTGGCGCCTTAGCCGGTTGAGCTATAGGCGCCGAGCCAACAGTGTTTAATTTTGACAAAGTCTGATTTATTTTTTCTTTTTCTGCTTTGCTTTTAGTGTTAACATTCTTGCTTTCAATATTTCCTTTTTCCAGTTTGGGTTTCTGGCTTTAGGATCATATTCAGAAAGTCATTCCTTAGCTCAAGACCATGTAAATTCCTTACCTTAAATTTCCTCCTAGTGCTTTATGACTTCATCTGTGTTACTGGTATTGGAAACTTATTTTCGTGGATGATAACTGGGTTGGATGACTTGATTTTATACCAGTCATCTGTCCCTTGACCCAATATCTTTTGGGCACATGAATTTTGTGAAGGAACTAGGTTCAGCCTGATCTCAGAAGCGAGCAGTGCTCAGGAGCCCAAGAGCACTCAAAGCTATGACCCTGTGTGGCCAACTTCAGTTCTGGCTTGTACAATGAGAAGGGCCAAGAGTATCTAGAATGACTGTGTTTCTCTTTTCCCATTGTTTTAGCCTCACAGATTTTAGCTCACATACTCGTGCCAGCAATGACTTGCCCACAGGATGGGCTTGCTGTTTTTGAGGGGGAGAATCATGTTTCTTGTCATCATCTTGGGACAGTGACTCCTACAGTCACAGATGGTCAGGTAGTCAGGAACCACTAGAGCTGCTAAGTATGGAGCTACTGAGTCTCTTTGGCAGCCTGAGATAGCAGTGCCAGCCCTTTTTTCTGTGTGCCCTGGGGGAGAGTGGGCAGGGCTGTCCTGTTTCTATGCCACGCGACAGGCTCTCGCTCAGCGTGCCTGTGGAGTATGGTGTCCAAGTTGCTAGGGATCCTGCATCCAAGAGCTAATAAGGGAAAGATTTAGCCCTAGGTGGGTACATAGCAAACCTCATCTCTCCCCCTAGAATATTTCTTTAAATAGACTTTGTTCTGTAGAGCAGTCTTAGGGTCAGTGCAAAGTGGAGAAAAAGGTACAGAGATTTCACACATACCCTGGTCCCCACATAGCCACCCCGTTATCAACAACCCCCCTGCCCTTTCCCACCTGAGGTGCATTTTTGCAATCCCTGAATCTGCATCCCCTGCAGCTCTGTGATTGGTGAGGGAAATGTCAAAGCTCCTTTCCTTCAACATCCGGGGGGCTTTTCCCCCAAGAACCGCAGGCCCTGAGAAGAAGAGGGTGACAGAAAAGGACAGACTCCAGGCAAATTAAGGTCCTGAAATGGCAGCAGTTGCTTGTCAGGGAGTCACGGTGTGGGGAAGGTGTGTGCGTGCGTGTAGCTATGCAGTTCCAATGTGTGTGTAGTCGTGTGACCAGCATAGTCCAGATAAAGAACAGTTGGGTCACCACAGGAGCCTTCCTATTGCCCATTTATAACCACTGTCAACTCTGTCCCTGTCCTCACCAGCCACTGTCCACACTAATCTGTTCTCCACCTCCGTGACATTTCAGAGCCTTTGGAATTTCAAAATGGCAGGTAATAGATTGGGAGCTACATTTATGTTTTGCAAGCAACTCCAACAATATGCTGGAGACACATGATGGTGATATCCAGAGTTGGGCTCTCCTGGAAGGACCCCCTCTGCCACCTTCCAGCAGCCCCTTACCCACCAGCCTCTGCCCCCTCCCTGTATGAGGAGGGCACTAAATGCAGCTGCTGCATTGGACAGCAGAGAGTTGAAAGAGAGCACTGTGCCCAGAGAGCCATGCTTGGTGGCCACCGTTTTCAGACTGTAAAGTTGTGCCTGGAAGCCTGGGCTTTGCTGGTGGTGGACCTAAGAAAGCAGGTCTTGCCACAGTAGAAGCCCACAGGTGAAGTGCTGGCTGGGCCTGTGGCAGATGTGGGAGCAGAATGGCCAATGCTGTCATCTACCTTGCTGTGGCCTGGCCCTGAGCAGCTAGCTGGTCACAGGGTCACAGCAGACACTAAGTGCTATTGTCTTTTCTCCAGGTGATGGCGGATATGGCAGCAGTGATGACCCTGGATCTGGTAGGTTTCCAAGTCCTGAGGTGTTTGTTGGCGACCACAAGGAGATATAGTGCTGGCCCGCTGGGGTCTCAGAGTTGGCCTTCCCTGCCACCCTTCCTTGAATGCTTCTAAGTGAGAGTCACATGGCAGACAGCAGAGGGCTGAGGAAAGACAAAAACTATGGTTGAGCCACAATCTATGGTCTCAGCCACAATGGCTGAGACAGCAGCCATTTATAGGAATTAAGCATGAAGATCGGGAACTGGGGAGGTAGCCTGAGGGGATCCTGCTGGCCTGAGACACAAAGACCTGTCTGGCCCTCAGTAGGAGGCCTCTAGCCTCTCACAGTGGAAGTCCTTACAGGAAACAAAAAGCCCTGGCCAATGCAGGGGGTACTGTGTCGCCAACAGCTCCCTGTTCTCCTCCCCTCCAAACACACAGGTATGGTGGCAGAGACCGGCACCATCGCTGGGGTGGCCAGCGCCCTGGCCATGGCCCTCATCGGCGCAGTCTCCAGCTACATTTCCTACCAGCAGAAGAAGTTCTGCTTCAGCATTCAGCGTAAGTGTGGCCTCTCCCCATGGGACCAGTCAGCAGTCTCTTGAGGGAAAGGAGCCAGAATGGGGACAGTTCCCTTCCATAGCCAGCTTCGGAGCACACTTTCTGGGGTGGGGGCAGAGGCCACAGTTTTGGAAATCCTTGGAGACAGATCTAAACTGAACTGAAGTACAAACCGGCCTAGCAGCATGGATGGGGCTGGACCTGGTGACTTTAACCTTCCAAGGGCCCCAGCTCCCAGAAGCTGTATTTCTGTGGAGACAGAGCTCAGTGACTGCTGTGACCGTAGAACGGGAGGGACCCTAGGTGGATCTCACCTCCAGAGGCCATGGGTTAACAGCTCCCTATTGTGCTACTGGTCTCTCAGGAGCAGAAGGCAGTAGGCAGTAGGCAGTAAGCTCTGAGGGCTCCAGAACATGCCCTTGTCACTCTGGCAGTGCCCCTTTCCCATCCTGAGAAGTCACTGAAGGCAGCCTGCTCTTCCCTCTCAAGCCAGAAACTTTAAAATATGTGGAATCTTGAATTGTTTTGAAGAAGTAGGAATGCATAGACGAAGAATAGAGTGTGGCTTTGCCCCAATCCTGTTCATGCCAGGTTTTGAAAATGACTGCTTTCATCTTAAGCTGTAGCTGTTGAGTCTGGAAATTGTGGGTAAATTACACAGTTACAAATGGAAGCCTGTCGCAGAGCCTGCTGGTGGCCCATATCAGAGAGCTCTGTGCAGATGCTGCTGAGGGTGAAAGAGAAGACCGCACTCGTTGGTTCCATAAGCACACCACTGATGCATTGCGTTTGCTCAGTGGAGCGTGCCACTATTTCAAGGCTGGTGATTTTTAGCTCAAGTGACAGATTGTAGCTCAGCCATAGTTTTTGTCTTTCCTCAGCCCTTATGATGTCATGAGTAGCTTATAAACATCCCCTGGAAATCCTCCCCTCCCTTTGCTGCAGGCCTCTGCATTTGATTCTGGAGCTGAGCTTCTCAGGAAACTAAATCTAGGTCTCAGGATGATTTTCTAAAGTCCCCAACTATTTCTTAATCTGGTCATCATAATTGCTTTTTTGCCCTTGGAGAACATTCTTGATCATGGTCACCATATACAGCTGCACATGCTGTGAACATTAGTGCTCCAGGGGACCATTCACATGTCAGTGTATAACCTGCACAATAGTTCATAGCATCCCATCAGCCCACCATGGATCCAGAAGCTTGACTATAGAGCAGTATGAACAGGGAAGGGCAGAAGGAACACAGGGCTGGGGGCTGGATTGTTCTTAGAGCTACCCTTTTCCCCCAACTCAAAAGCAGAGAAATCTCAGACTGGTGAAAAAAGATGAGTTCCAGATTCTGATGGCTTGGACACTGGTATTTGAAGGGAGAACTTTGGGCTAAGTTGTGCTGAGTGTGGTAGCAGGTAGTTTATGCACCAGCCTCTTGTGTGGTACCTGGAGCAAGGAGCACAGGGCAGCCAAGCACATCGTCCCAGCTCTTGATCTCCGACCTTGTTGAATGTGGAAAGGAAAATTAGAAGATGCCTGATAAGAGGTTTCTGTCGAGAGGCCCCATGGCTGTCCTTTGAGCCCCACCCCCCAATAGGTAGGTCAGAAGGAGACAGTATCCTGGGACACAGCGCCACCCATGTGGCCTTCCCTGTCTCTGGGGATTCTGATTTGACGCTGCATTTTGGGCTGATATCGCTCTCTACTCAGGTCCCTCCTCTTGTTTGAGGGAAGGAAGTGAGGGCTTGGCCAAGGGCACTTCTGAAGAACAACTCTTCTGGCTTCCTACTGGCCAGAAAGAGGGTGAAGATTTCGGAGAAGCATCCAGGTTCTTCAAATGGTCATTTGGGAAAAGAAAAGGCCAGGTTTGGATTAAACCAGGTCTATAGGGTAAAGCTGGAAATTATTGAAAGAACAATATGTTGTCTGTGTGACTGATTAAACTATAAAATGTCATTTAGCAAATAGCTATTATTAATTAAAAAACAAACAAACAAACATGTCCAGTGATGCTCTCAAAATACAGGCCACAAAGTTGTGGGAAGAGGTCCCGTGGCTGGCTGCAGGGCTTCTCCTGTTTGAGCCCTTGCTGGAGACCAGATTTGGCTACAAGCAGCAAGCACATCAGATGCATTTTTTTGCCTAGATTTCCTGATCATTCTCCCTCCTGGGTTGCTGGGGAGGGAGGGAGGGACACTGCCACTCTGGGCTTGCTTTCTAGCAACAAGGGAGTTGTGAACACTTTAGACAAACAGCCCCATGTGCCAGGGCCAACAAGGCCCACAGCAAGCTTTGTCCTAGGCAACTGTACCAGTTTCCTGGGGCTGGTGAAACAGAGAACCACAAACTAAGCAGCTTAGCACAATAGAAATTCAGTCTCTCCAAGTTCTGGAGGCCAGCACAGTCACATTCCTTCTGGAGGCTGTAGGGGAGGCATACCTGGTCTCTTCCAGCTTTCAGGGGGCTCCAGGTCTTCCGGGGTGTATGGCTGCATCACTCCCATCTCTTCCTGTGTCCTAAATCCACTATGATCTCCTCTTGAGATCCTTAATTACATCTGTAGAGCCCTGTTGCCAAAAAAAAGTCGCATTCACACATTCCAGGTATGTGGACAAGGACAGATCCTTGTGTGTGTGTGGGGGGGGCATTCACCTCATTTCAGCATCATTGCCCTGACAGTGAGGTGGAACAGTTTACAGTCACCAAATACATGCTTATCATAAAGCAGGCAAACTGTCTCACATGCCAAGGGGTGGTAGCTTGCAGACTTCACAAAGTGTGCCGGGAAAAATAAACTATTTCAAGCCAGGTCCACAGTTCCTAGTAACAACAGCTTCCCAGGCTGACCTTGCCTCTCTTCTGTTTGTGGGTCAAGAGCAGCCTCGTGCCTTGGCCTGGCAAGGGCAGAGCTCTGGATAGGGAGCAGTTCTTGAGCTCAGCAGACAGGGCGGCAGGGCTGGGTGCAACTGCTGGGATGTCTGTTTCCCCATCAAGGGCATCTTGCCTTCCTTTCTGTTCTGGAACAAATCATCTCACCAAACACAAGGCCAGAGACCAACTTTCAGGCTGCTCAGGTGTCAGTAGGAATAGAGAGGGAAGGAAAAAAATAGGTTGATTTCTGGGCGGCACCTGTGGCTCAAAAGGGTAGGGCACCGGTTCAAACCCAGCCCCGACCAAAAAAAAAAAAAAGGTTGATTTCCAAAGCGCAGAATACCTACCTTAATTGTGTGTTTTTCTCTGTCAGGTCACTAAGGTAAAAGGGAAATAAATTTGCATAGTAACTCCCTGGAAGGAGCAGGTGTAAGGGGCTGAGTGTTGGATGGAAACTGCCCACCTGGCATGTTGATCTTGGACTTTGCCACCTTTCCCCTTCAACCTTTCTTCCCATGTCACCTTCCTTGCATGTCTGACTCCCCAACCTAGAGGCCAGAAATCCTCTTGGGTCCTCCCCAATCCTGGGCCATGAGCCACACCTGCCTATCACCATTGTTAGTAGCCCCTGCCTGGCCATGACCAAGGTTTCTCTTCATCCACCAATCTGGAAACTTCCATGGACCTTTTGCCTACCCTGGTCTCCCACACACTTCATCCTTTTTCAGAGGGACCTGTTTAAAAATGCCCAGGAACTGCTTTGCTGGAGCCTCCCGTGTTCCCTGCTGCCCTTAAGGTCATGGCCCAAAGGCCCTGAGCTTGGCGTTCAAAGCCCTCTATGCTCTGGCTCCAGCCATACACTTTCCCATCCCTGTCCCTGGAGGCCTTTCACTCCCTAGGGGTGCCAAGCATTCCCCATGTGGCCTTTGCTGCTCCCCTCTTCACCTCATCTAGCTGCCTCTCATCCTTTAGACCTGGGGCATCTTCTCCCGTGGGACCTTCTACCAGTGCAGCCTGTGGGGCCACCAGCTGCCTCTTGTGTGCTGCCACAGCGCCCTCTGCTGACCTCATTGGAGTCCTAGGGTGGGATTGGACCAATTGGTTTCTCATCATTCTGGATGGGCTGTTACATGGAGGCTGTGTGTGCTTCACCCACTGATGTGTCCCTGGCACCTAGTCCAGGCCAGCATCGGGAGGAGCCTGAAGATGTTTGTGGGGTGACTCACCCCTAAGAAGCTGGGATTGGGACCTCTCACCCTCACTCTTCTCTCTGAGCCTCCGCCCAGTTAGCTCAGCCACCATAGTCTGAGGACAGGGAAAGATAGGGCACAAGGGCCCGAGAATTGGCAGGTGGGTGCTAGGAGGGTCTGGCCCCACCCCTGCCGCTCTCTGCTACCATCAAAGAGGCCTATGCTTTGAGGACCCTGGGCTTTCTTTGCCTCTACCCTGAGTGCCAAAAGTCAATGCGTCTCATGGAAAGCCTGTGTGGTTTGCTGTGGGGAGCAGAGTTATTACTCCAGGGTTTTAAGCTGTGTGTCTTGCCTTCAGATGCAGCAGAAGGTCAAGGTAACAACTGCTATGACTTATTTCCTTTCGCTTTGGCCTTATCCACCTGCACTTCTGCTCCTGCTCTTCCTCACTACCCTCACCCACCCTCTTCCCTGCCACTCACCAACTTGGCTGTGACTACAATCCTCCCTAGCTTTCCCTGATGCACGTGGGAGGACCCTCTGTTCCCAGGCCAGGTGTAGCTGGGGTCAGGGATGTATAGGGGCTGAGGTCTTGTGGTGAGGGCTGCCTGCAGCAAACAGACAGCCCCGTGCGCACCAGGCCGGTGGTCAGGTGGAGTGGGAGGCGGCTGGGAGGGTGCACCTGGGGTGCCTCCACCAGGCCTGTTGCTGGCCCACTTTGCATGGATACCAGCCACACCTGTCAAAGAGCAATGCCTGTATTTTTTCACAGGCCTGTCAGGCTTCCACCTTGAGCCCAGCAGCCACTATAGCAGGTAGGGTGGCAGGCGGCCTGTAGCCCAGGAGAGTGGAATGACTTGTGGTGATGCCTGGTCCTTGGTCACTTGGAACCATGGCCCAGTTTTTCCATAGGCAGAGCTAAAGGTTTCCAATCCCTAGGCTGTCTAGGGGAAAGGCATGGACTCGTGATTGTCTCCAAACAGCAAGTGAGAATGGGGTGCACTCCAGGTGTAGCACAGTGGATTTTCTGGCATCAAGAGGTTGCTTTATTAAGCCCCTAGGCCCCTCTTGGAAAGAGCTGTGGACAAGGCCCAGGTGACTAACTAGACCAGAGCAGCTGTCAAGAGAGCCCTGGGCCCTCCAAGCTTGGGTAGAGACAGTAATCATTCCTGCCACTGGGAGAAGCCACTTGGCTTCTGCTGGGAAGGCTATTTGTTGGCAAGGAGCTTTGCTATCATCTCCACAAGGAGCCCCTCAGCCACCTGCCCCTCCCTGCCCTGCCTCTACCAGTCTCTCCTGTGCCACTTGCCTCCCTCCCTGGTTCCTGGACTGGATAAAGCCCAGGTGCTGCTGAGCCCTGCTGCTGGGTGCTGCCGGGCAAAGCTGCCATCTTGATGTGGTGGCAGCTGCCCTACTGGAATGGTATCAGGGGCTTTTGGCACACACTATTTCTGAGCACGATGATGAGAACTTGGGGGCAGTGTGCTTCCCCAAAGGCCAGTCTCTAGAGAAGTCTGAGTTCACTGGGGGAGCTGTGCTTTGCTTTTTGTTTTTTTTAAACCATAACAGAGGACTTAGTCAGGAATTGTTGATCATAGTTGAGAACCCTTGGTTCTGTGTTCCTCACTAACTCTGCCCTTTGTCCTTCGCAGAGGGTCTCAATGCAGACTATGTGAAGGGAGAGAACCTGGAAGCCGTCGTGTGTGAGGAACCCCAAGGTGAGGACTTCTCAGTCACTTTCCCTCACTGAAGGCCTTCTAGTCAGTGGCCCCAGCACTGAGCAGAACTGTGCTACACAAGCAGGGAAGCACAGAGGTGTCTGCTTCTAGAATGTTTAGCCAGAGCAAAAGGCTCCAGGGGCTCAACTTCATGACTCTGGGATGCTGGGGTGACAGCCAGGGCCATCTGGTGCCATGTCAATGACTTTTGGGCACAGTTGCCACTCAGCCTCTGCTCTAGATTCATCTGAGCCAGAGGCCCAGACACCTCTACTCCCTGGCGGTGGAGACAGAGCCATGGGGAAGCTCTAAACCTGGACCTAGAACTTTCTCACTTCCGAATTGCTGAAGGTGAGGTGGTGTGGCTAAGCCCAGGCCCTGGATTAGAACCCACAGACCTCCCTGCCGCCACCTCCTGTGGTCATTGGGCATTTTCTGGGTTTAGGAGCTATTGGTGATTTGAGGTTACATAAGGTCAAGCCACTGACCTGGATGACAGGTATGCCTATGGCCCCAGAATGCCAAGGAGGAGGTCTAGAAAGGCTTGCTGAGGCAGAGAAGTGGCCAGCTTCTTGTTGGCCGAGGCCAGGTAGTGCAGGCAGAGACTAGGAGGGCCTGGGCACACATGGTGACCAGAGCTGCAGGGCAGTGGCTGTGAGGACAGGATTTGGGAGACCAAGAGGAGCCTGGCCCATGTGGTCGCGAGTGGCACCCCTCACCTCTGCCCAGGATGGATGTCTGGCAGTGCTGCACTGAACAGGCAAAGACAGCCCTGGACTCAGATGTGGAAAATGTCTTCTGCGGTATCATTTGTGGCATTTTGGTCACTCTTAGCCACTGCTGAGTGAGCCCCTATAAGCTATCACGAGCCAGGTGCCACGTTGAGTGTTTTATTTAAAATAATCCTCCCAGCAACCCTGTCAGGACCATCCCCATTTTCCAGATGGGAAAATGGAGGTTGAGCTGTTCACAGGGCCTGTGCAGCTTCCTCCTCTCGTCTTGACCCACCAGAACTCTACTTCCAGGCCCTGGGTAGCCCTGACTAGGGCAGGGGGAGGAAGGGTATATGGAATGGGCCGAGCTGCCCCAGCTTCTGGATAGCACAGACACAACTGTCCCTAGCTGGGGCTTGACTGTGTGTCACTGTTCCCATGCAGGACAGAGCTGAATTCCCACTATGCCACCCCTCTCTCCACAGTGAAGTACTCAGCGCTGCACACGCAGTCTGCAGAGCCACCACCTGACGTGGCCCGGATCTGAGGGTCCTGTTCAGCAGCAGGTGCCACCGCTTGTGACTCGGCTCTTTCATTTGGCCCCACAGCTACTGTGCTGCTCATTCGATGTCACTGGCTCCTTGTTGTTTTAAGCTTTCTGGATGAGTCCTGGGTGCTCGTGAGTTTGGTTTCTGTGCCCTCCACGTGGGGGTGTCCACCCTGCTGCAGGGGCTTTGATTTGTGCTGACATTCAAGAGCCAACTGTAGCACAGAGACAGCCTTGGACACTGCAGGGTCATCGCTCCCCAAAGCTGACCTGGCCCCAGCCTTACTGAGCACAGGGTGGGAGGAGGCCGTGACAGGGGAAGAGGATGCTGGGGAAGACAGAGGACATGCACACTTAGGGAACAGGAGCTTCAACCAGGACCCCGTGATCCCCTGCACGCTGGAGTGGCTCACTGGGGGTTTCTGCCATAGGTAGCCCCTGGCAGAGACCTCAGAGCTCCGGGACCCAGCCAGCACCTGGTGCACTAGCAGTCTGGGCGAGAAGTGAAGCAGCCAGCACCGAGTGACACACCACCCAGGCGGCACCCAGGGCAGGGTTTTCATTTTAGTCTTTCTTTCCCATCCAGGTTTTATGTTGGTGGGCTTCCAGAGAGCCGATCCCGGTGGAGGCTGTTCAGTTCTTTAAGTGCAAATATGCATCTCATGATAGTCCTGCCCTGAAAATTTGGGAATCTTTTGGATAAGTAGCAAACTGGGACTTGCAGGCCTGATTCCCAGCTGATTCAATAGGAGATGGGGTGTGTTTTAAGGCTGTGTGTGTGCTTAGTCTTAAGACTAAGGCGTTTTAAGACTAAGGTGTGCTTAGTCTTGGGGAATCATCACATTGGAAACATTTTAGACTGGGCAGGGGAGGTGCTCCGCTTACTTAGCCAGCAGGAGCTAGACGAATAAGCCTCAGACGCTGAAGCATGCCTGTTTGGGGGAAAAAAATCTATGGGGGAGGAGGGGCAAGGGACGCTCACTTGGTTAAGCGAGAGACACCTAACTTGGCAGCCCCGTGGCCAGCCCGCCGCCTGTTCAGATGAAGAGCACGTGGGCCTGAGCTCACTTTGGCAGACAGCAACTTGCCCCTCACCTGTCCTGGAGCTGCCTGGGTTGGGCTGGACCGGACCGGAGCTGGCTTCCCAGAGTATTCCTTTGGATCCTATGTAGCTCTGTACTAGTGAGCTCTTCTGTGGAAGACTGAGCTGGGGTCTACTGTTACTCTGTTTGCCACGTCACAAAGCACTTATGAAAGCAGAATGTGAGTCACGGACAGGCAGGATCCTATTTACAAAACTCCTCGGCCTCTTTAGCCTATGTGGCAGCCCCACATGCTCTACAGGCTTTTTAAAGAAACCCCTGGAATCCGCAGCCCCCACATGCTCTCTGATGCATGCCTCGTGTGTTCATTGTTTTAAAAGCTACCCATGGTAGGAGGGTAGCATTTATAGCACTGGTCTCAAAGCTGCCCCTCTGGGCTATCTCCAGTGTGTGCCTGTGGGCATCAAAACACCCCTCCTCCTGCTCAGCCCTGTGAGACCAGCAGGCCAGGACTGGGCCAAAAGGGGCTAAGTCACTGGGCAGGAGCCATGGAGGGAGGAAGCTGTGGTCTGGCCCCGAGAAGCTCCCTGTCCTTTTGGAATGTAATTAGCAAGGTACACGTTGCTTGCAAGATGGGCCTGTTTCCAGGGCTTCCCACCTTTGTTGGCTAGGTTGTCAGGTTTGAGCCTCCCTGACACCAAGGACACTGGTCTCATCCCAGCTGGTGCTGGGTTAGAGGTGGCTTCAGAGAATTTTTGAACCCATAGCTTGTTGCTACCTACACAGCGTGGCCTCAGGACGGGGGTTTCCACCTTACTTTTATGGTGAGGCTTATCCAATGGCAAAGACCTGGAAGACCTAGAGCTGTGACATAAACATTGTGCAACCATGTGCTCAGTAGCGCCGGCTTCAATTACGAAATGGCCTCTTTGCCCTCCTCTAGCTGGGCACCTTCTGCACAAAGCTCATGGCCCTTCTCCCAGGCCTGCACGTGGCAGACGTGCCCAGAGGACCCCGCGACCTTCTGTGTGCAGGGCACTCATCCCATGGGCAGCTCCTTTCCACAGGCATTTTAGCCCTGCTGGGCACTGTCGCCTGTGGAAGCCTGGGAGTCTCTTGTAACTGCCCATCTGAAGGTGTATATACCAGCTTAGGCCTGTCCCGGGTGATGAGAGAGAACTACAAGGGCCAATTGAAAAGACCCAATTGTGTCAGCTTCATTTGGCAGCAAAAACTGCACACACTGCATAGTGTCAGTCAGCACTCAAGGACAGTAAGCCGAGGGCCAGGGAAGCCTGAGGGAGGCTCACTGGCTTAGCCCCTGGGCAGGCGTTGGTACCAGTGCTCTGAGGGGGAAATGGGAATTGATCTCACAATCCCCTGTATCTCTATTTATTTATGTACTTGTGTCCAGGTATGAATTGTAAACTGTCTAGTGTTTGCATTAAATAAAATGGCACCTCGCAGATCCCCAGACTCTGGTGTGGAGGCACTTCCTTTGTCAAATCATGCTGTTTCTTCCTAAAGTGATCTATGACATGGAGCTCTTCTCGTTCCCTTTCTCCTCAGTTGAAGGTTATTCTCCAGGTTGAGGTTCTTGGATTTATCCCCTGGGTGAGCAGATGAGTGTGCAGAGGCTTCCTGGGGTGCCCTCCCCCCATTGTATAAGCAGCTGGGCTAAGCCCAGAGGCCTGGGCTCACATACCACAAGTCTCCTGCTCTGCCTTCTTCAAAGCCACCAGTCGCTACAGCAGGTTCTAGCTCTGTGCAGTTGCTTCACCAAAGAAAGCTGACCGAGCAAGAGGCCCTGTACCCCATCACTTGTTGCAACCCTGTGGCGAGTGGCCTGTTTGGGATAAAGTGTGTCCTTGTCATCAGTTCACACCTTGGCTCATGAACTGAGAAGACAGCTGGGCATTTCAGCATGAACAAGTCACAGTGGCCCTGAGGTCGCTTGGCTTTTTCTTTTTATTTCACTAAAATAGGCATGGAGTAAAAATAGCCCAAGTCCTCAAACCCAAGGCTGCCACATGATTCTCCTGTGCAGAAGATGTGTGTGGCCAGTGGGGGCCTGGCTGTCCTGGCCTCACTGCTGGGGCTGGCTGGCTGGCTGGCAGGTGGTTTCAGGAGGCATGCTCTGTGCTGAATACCATGCTCTTAGTCAGCAGTGATGTGACTGGAGAGGGACAGAGACCCCAGGCTCCTACAATTTCATCCAGGTCTTAACAGCCCTGACATAGTAAACAGCCTCTTCCTTCCAAAGAGTGGGGGAAGTGGCAATTGTACGCCTCAGAGCACTGCGCCTACACGAGGGAAATGGCTCCATGCCAGCTGGCTCCAGACTTCTCAAATATTACAGTCAGGGGTGTTTCCAGTTTTGAAATCAGAGTACTGACCTGTTTTAGCCCAAACATTCAAGATGCATGATAAATTACATTTATAATTTGGTAAATGAAAATCACAAAAGGGCATTTTTTTTTTTTTTTGAGTCAGAGTCTCATCATGTTGCCCTCGGTAGAGTGCTCTGGCGTCACTGCTCATATCAACCTCCAACTCTTAGGCTTAAGTGATTCTCCTGCCTTAGCCTCCCGAGTAGCTGGGACTACAGGTGCCCACCACAACGCCCAGTTATTTTTTGTTGCAGTTTGGCCAGGGCTGGGTTCGAACCCACCACCCTTGGTATATGGGGCTGGCGCCCTACTCACTGAGCCATCGGCACTGCCCACAAAAAGGCATTTTTATTTATATATTAACTGTGCTTGGCACATGACATTCAATACATATTATTTTATTACTAATTTCTTTCAAGGGAAAAATCTACTGAAATACTTAAAAAGGAAAACAACCAAAAGGAGCAGGGAACAAACATTTTAATTACAGATTGACATACAGTGCATCAGATAAGGCAAATACGATACTGTACCAATTTTATAAACCTGAACCATAAAGGTTTTGCATCCTAGTACACTTAAATAAAACAAAAAAAAATGCTAAGATAATAAACTATGCTTCAAGTTGTTTTAGAAACAGAGACATAGGAAGGAAAATGATCTCTTGTGCTTCTTTAAAGTCAAGTGGGAGTGTCCAGGAAGCCCAAGGCAGAGCTGCCCCTGCCTGGTGAGGGTACACAGGGCCCAGTCTGGGTGCCAGGTTCCCCCTAACTTGCCTTCTGTGGTTCTGTCAAAAGCACCATCCTGTCCACAGTACATTTAAAATGCTATTTCTGGGATGAAAATGGGAAATGTCCTCATTTTAAAAAAAAATCTATGTATCAGTGAAAACTCCAGTTTATCTACTTGCAAACTTTCAGATTGTTGGGAACATAAAAAGCTGAGATCAATAGAGCTATGACTTAGAAACAAACCCCCAGATAAGAAAAACGGAGAAATGGTTTAGGTTATCAATTTAACTTGAATACGTTTTTCTGGTTTCTTTGAGAAGGATAATTTTCTGTAACAATCAAAAGGTTCCAAGTTTTAAAAAATCTATTCTCTATGTATTTGACCATAAAAAAATTTAAGAATATATTGTCAAAAATAAGGTCAATATGTAGGACTTTGCATCAAATTCAGTAATTTGAATCCAACCCGCTAACGCTGTAACACAGTTGTCCTAAGGTTTGACCGTGTGAGTTTCTGAGGCCACCTCTCACTGGAAGGCCTCAGGTGAGCTGCGGCAATGGGCACAGCTCAGGGGAGGGGGCGCGGCCTGAGGGGCAGGGCCCACGTGTGCAATATTCACCCTGTGGCACATCACACAGAGGAGTGAAAGGCCCTAGTATTTTAGCAGATAGAACCAGTTGATGGTCAACTAACTCCTGCAAGGACTGATGGCGTCGCAGAGCTCAGAGTCACTAAGTGAAGGTGCAAAAGCAGGAGAGGCTGCGGTTGGCTCTGCGGAGGGAAACCCACAGGAAGTACATGCTATGCTTTTTCAGCCCGAAGCCACAGTACAGTGGTTGCTCTCAAAAAGTGACAGTCACATGATAAAATGAGAAATTAGCTAACACAGGCATATGTGTCTTGACACAAGCAGCCACATCTATAAAGAGGTGAAGGACACAAGGTCAGATGGCCCAGGAGTGATGGCCAGCACCTGCACACAGCTGCCTGCATCCCCAGCTTCCCATCAGCAGGGCTGGGGACCGAGCACACACCCAGCCCCAGCCATGTACTGCGACACTTCAGGAGGAAGTACCAGAGTCAGGTGAGGGCGTGCACATTGCCACCAAAGTGACATCTTCAAATCAGTCTGAATGTACCACTTAAGAGTCTGAAGTTCAGTGGAAAACTTCTCACACTGCCCAGTTAAGATGATACCTCTGCAGGTGGCTACTCTAAACATAGAAAAGGACATAGGAAAATAAAGGCATGTTTCTCTTTTTTAAAAATACCTTATATGTATACAACAGTAATTATTACAGAAGGACCCCCTGCGCAAGGAGAACCATAGAATAGATGGCAATTGCTTGTCTTCTCCCCGAAATATTTCATTTAAGCAGTTTCCACGTTGTGCCAATGAAACAAGGGAAGCCCCGGGGCTGCACTGTGGTCTCCAAGTGAATGGAAAGGAAAGGTCCGAGCCTTGAGGGCTGCATTCTGCTCACTCCGGTTCTCCCAAGCTGCCTGGGTGACAGTCGGTTCACAGGGTGGACATGACAGACGTCTCTCCAGTGAAACCACTGACAGGAGGCTAATAGGCCATTCACAAAACAACAAACACTTGCCAACAGTGGGAGCTGTTACCCAGCCACACAAATGTCCCTGGGCCTAATCCTAAAGGACACTATCACAAGCCACAGCCACGACAGTGAGTGCCAGGTCCCTTTCCCAAGCCACCAAGAGATAGCAGAGCAGCAGGATGGCCCAAAACAGCTGGCCTTGCCCATCAGACCGAGGTGTGGACAGGAGTGGCTGAGTGGGAAGGCGAGGAGCCCCGCTCAGATGAGGAGGAGACAGTGCGCGTGGCTACCTCCCGCTGCAGGTCCTCCACCCGCTTCTGCAGCTCCGCCCTGACAGCCAGCAGCTCCTTGAGATTCTGGTGGATTGGCATCTGGTGGTGAGCAGACACAAAGCCATGTTAGCGAGCCATTCTTGCCATGGCTTCCCACGTCAGCCCAGCTGGCTTCATGAGTCTTTTACCACCAGGACACCTCGTGTGTCATTAACTGGTCTCTTGCCTACTGCTCACTTCCCTTGACCTGAGTTTCTCAGACGATGGGCAAGCTGAAGTAGAGCACACAGCAACAATCCACCCAGGGGGCCAAATGTAGACTGGGCCCAGGCAGTCTAAGGACCATGTCAGATATTAATATGTGGCCCCTCCTCTAATCTCTGTATTTTTACATTTTTTGTAAATGGCTCTGCTGACTGAAAATACTTCTTTTAATCAGCACTTTCTACAACTTGAAGCTGTTTTCATCAGTTGGCACAGGAGCAGGCAGGAGAGCTGTCTCTCATTGTGCTCTCAAGCCTGTCAAGGGGACGGGTGGCTAAAGAAACAAGGAGGGTTTTCCTGCAGCCCCACCACTGTATGGCCAGAGCACCAGCTCACTCAGCTACATACCATTCTCAGGGCCCAGAGACTCAACACTTGGCTTCTTGGTGGGGTGGTACAGCCAGTCAGGGTGGAGATCCCTGGCTGGAGGGTGAAGGAGACATGGGGAAGGGTTATGGGCACGGTCCAGGCCCCTACATCCACTCCCTCAAACCCTGAGCTTGTACCATCATGGGTGCCACGGCTGATCAGCCCTCTTAGAGGGAGGGCAAGAGGAGAGAGGGTGGCCAGGTACTTCCCACATCCCAGGGTACTCAGTAGCCAGCACCAAGGAGGCTGGGAACAGACTCTCCACTTGGGCAGGCCCTGGGGAGAAGGGAGGGAATGACAACATTGGGGTCTGAGAACAAAGGCTGGGAAGTGGGCACCAGCTTCCCTGTGATCCTAAGGATCTATCTGGTATTTTCCTCTGTGGGGTCACTTGATAGCAGTCAGATAAGGGAAGAAGGCATTGAACACAGGGGAACATGTGATCTCACACACCTAGGGTACGGGGCTGGGCTGCTCAGAGGCATGGCTATTGTACCCTCATGCAGTTTTCTGTATCTTTCCTCATTTTCATTTGCAACAAATTAAGGACACGCCTGAAGGAATAGAAAACTGAGGCTTAAATACAAGAGTGTATTACATACAGTTCCCATCTAAGGGCCAGTCTTGTTTGCCTCACAGTGCTGGCTTGTGTGACACACAAGCCAAGAGAGTCCCAAAGGAAAGAGATGCCCAGGATGCCCTTATCTCAGCAGCCAACCCAGCCACTGCCTTCTCGAAGACACCCAGCAGGCCTACACCCCACCTGGCTCCCTGTCCCGTGTCAGCCACATCAGCCTGCCAGTCTTCACGGTACTACCCATTCCCAACCCCCACAGTGCTGCCAGAATGAGCTTTCTAGAACATACACCTGGCCTTGTCCTGTAGACCCTGGATAGTTCCTATAATCCCTAGGATAAAGTCCAAACTCCTACCCGCCTCTCTAGCCACCGACATCACCAAGGCCCAGTCCTTCCCCCCAGTGCTGTGTGCTTAGCACCTGGGAGGTATGTGCTGCATACTCATCACGTTTAGGCCCACGGCTTTCTCCGTTCTCCCTCCTGCGGAGCACAGTACGGGGAGGAGGCAAAATGCCAGACCACCCCTACCCTCATGCCGGGCACTGGTATGGATGCATTTGATGCTTGGTGACCTTGTGAGGTGTCAGTGAAGATAAGTACCTTGCCCCAGATCAGATGGTAACTCTGCCAGAGAGGGGGGTTAGCCCTGCTCGGGAGCATCCTCCCATGACTGCACACACCAGGCATCAAGAGGCTCAGGCAAGTTACAGCTAGCTTCCCTGAACCTTCCCTTCACCTTCTGCCATCATGGGATCACCATGAACATTAAGTGAGGTCACACATGTACAGTGCCCAGCGGCAGGCAACAAGACCTCAAGTTAGAGCAGCTAGCACTATGGTTCCCACTCATCATCACAATGAAGCTGACTTTCTTTACATGTGTCAGAATGTGATTGCATCAGAGAACAGATCTGTGACGCAGCTACAGGTATTAAAGACTTAACCCGTCCTCCAGAATGCTGCAGCGAAGGTACAGGTCCCTGCAGGTCCAGCAGAGGGGGCTGGTGCAGCGGAAAGGAGCCTGAGCCCAGGCTGGCTGCGAGACTCCACCTCCCCCATCCAGGCTGTTCCATTGCCTCTGCAACCTGCTGTGCAGAGGACAGGGGAGAGGGCACCTCCTGCAGTGACCCAGGAGCCATGTTTAGCCAAAGGCACTACAGTCCAAAGAGCAGTTCTGTGGGAGGTTCCACTAATGTTAAAGACATTCCACCAACCATCTGGTCCTTTGAGTCACCAAGAATATTAGGTGATTTAAATAAAGTAGTGACTTTCTGGCACGCTATAATCCATCTTCCCTGTTGCGAAAACAGATGAAATAGAAACTTCCCAGGGAAGAACTACTCTAAGTTCCTAAGTAGAACAGAAAGCACAAATCCACAACAGTAAGGAGGAAGCTGCTAGAAGCGAGATGCAGGCTTTGTTTCCTAAGTTGATTCTACCCACTGGAAAGAAGTGCTCCAGGGGTCCCTGTGCTTAGTATCTACCATAAACCAGTGGGCCAAAAAGGAGAGTAGTTCTGTAATCTGGATGCCAGTGAAAGGAGAGCAGGCTGCCCTGCAGTTGCACTTCTCTGGCTGAAAGATGCTAATGGGAGTGGCGGCCTCTCAGGCTCACACACGCCATTTCCAAGAGTTCTTCAGGCTCAATTCTCATTTAGGGGAGGATACAGTTGTTATGTCAGGGGCCTGGCCTCGCAGAGCACAAAGTCTAAAGGGACAGAGAAACACAGATTTTTAAAAAGCTAATGCAGTGCCAGGAACGCAGATGGGAGTTGGGGTATGCGGAGAGTGTGGGGGAGCAGGAGCCACCAGGCAGTGCTATGACTCAGGCAGGAGAGAGGAGGCCTCTCTGGCAGCAAATGGGAGCATGGACCGGAGGGAGACCAGGCAGGAGTGAGTTCCAACAGCCCAGGAGTTTGGCTGTGGAGGGGACACAGACTTGTCTGTACGCTGAGGGGCAAGAGCCACAGGAGGGAGATGGAACAAATGCAGGCCTAGGGGTCTGGAGGGAGCAGATGAGCAGGGGGACCACACCTGTTCATCCACTCATGCTTCCCTCGGCCCAATGTGCTAAGGCGTCCATTAGTTGCCAAACCCCACACTAGATGCTGAGGCCCTGCAACATCAAGTTCACAGGCAGTGGGCACAGAAGGCAAAGAGGCACTGCGGTTCCCAGCACCTTGGGGATCCCACAGACCCATTAGTAGATGCACCTCCTTTCATTCTCAAAATAATACTTTAGGCAGTAAAATGTGGTCATCCTAGCACCAGGTGAGCAGGGCACTTATCAGGGAAGGCTCTGGGGTAGAAGTACCAGGAGCTCCCAACTCCTGTGGAGGGGGCTTAAAGGCAAGTCTCTCTGATCCAAGAAAGTCTCTGGGAAGGACTGGAAAAGGTGATCAGAAAAATGATAGTCTTCACATGTCAGAAGACATAAGAGAAGGGCTTCATGCACACTGGGGATCCAGAGAGGGCAGGGTATGGACAGGCTGAGGTGTGGCTAAGGGCACCCAGGAATGCAGGCATTACCCCACTCTGTGAGGACTCCTTCCCACCTCCCTGGGCCCAGTGTGTCCCACAGCTGCAGCTGCAGACCTGCTTGCCCGGCATCTGGCCTCTCTTCCTCAGGGCATGGGAACCACACCATATTGCTTTTACTCCTGAGTACCTCCACCTGCAATGGCTTCTCACAGCAGACACAGCCATGTTAGTGCACACAAGGGGGACATCCAGCTCAGCCCTGTACTCACCAGGCCATCCTGTGACTGACAGTGGCTGCATGACTAGGGAATGAACATTTCCTGGATGTTCTGGGCCTCTCTGCCCCCCTCAGAGGGAAAGGCATCCCTGCAGTGAGCCCCCAGAGCCAGAAGGCTCTCAGTTTCCCTCTGTAGCAGATAAGCCTTGAGGTATGGCGCAAGGGAGAAAGGATTTGAGGACCGTGCTTGCGAGGAGGTTTGTTGTCCATGCCACTGTTAGCAGGTGCCATGGTACTCTATGTGGATGCCACATGGGTAACAGGATCAATCCCTCAGTGGGGGCATAACATAGGACGTTCGAAATTCACTAATAAAGGCTTATTGGCCACAAATCAGACTAAAAACCTATAATTAAAATGTTGACCAAAGATTTTGACTAACTGTATATGAATTCTTTTCACTGGAAAGAGCTGAGAATGTACCTACCTAGCTGCTGTTCAATAAAGAAAACATTCTACAATTCTTGGACATTCACATTTTCACTATTCAAGACCCATGCCAAAAGCAGAAGCTGTTCGGTATTCAGAGCTGTGCTCTGGCTGTCTTAGCATTCGAGTCCCCTCATTTCAACATATTCATATCAGTGTGGAAGTGCCTGCAGCCCTTGCTACTCTGCAACAGTTAATGTAGGAAGCAGCTGGTGGCCCCTCGCACCATAAATATGCCTAGAACATTATAACAGAAGCTGGGCCCTCAAATAGTGAATGGAAAGGAAAATGCCAAACCCACTGAGCCCAGGAATATTTCCAGGGAAGAGTCCCACAGCACCAGCTCCCGGCACAGTGAGGGGCAAGGCCAGGGAGAGCATGTCCTGAGTCTGGGGCACAGGGAGAGGCCTGAAGACCATGTGTTGAATATGGAGCCATAAGCTCAGAGAGGAGGACAAGTACTGGGCTGAGTAAGCACTGAGCAGTATTCTGGAAAATGCTCCTGATGTCCTAAGGGTGGCAGGGCCAACTCAGAGGGTCTGGAGGAAGAACATGCTTCTGCAGCTAAAGCCGTAGGGAACAAAGGGAATGAAACAGAAAACGTGAGAAATGATTAGCAGCTCCAATTATAGCGCTCATGAGCAAAGGACCAGGGAGGAGGGGAAGAGCAGCTGCCTGGGGCAGCAGGACATGTGTCACAGGGAGCCTGGAGCACCATCTACAAATGAGTGAACTTTCCAGCCAGGATGGAGGTCAGGAAGGTGATGGCAGCCTCTGAGCCTCCAGTGCCAGGTACTTGAAAAGAAACATGAGCAGTTCAGGCTTCTCCAGGGTTACTGGGGCTTGGAGGTGAGGCAGAGATCTGGTAAGAGGGTTGGGAAGGGAGGCAGACAGGAGGAAAGGCAGACTTCTGCATCCTTGGCTGACAGAACCACTCTATGAAAACAGTACCCTGTCAATAGCCCCTTGCTAGGCTACCAGGTAAACTCTGAGAATGGGAAAGAGCCTCCACAGAAAGCTACCTGTTCAGAGCGCAGGCTCCCACCACCCATCCTCTCCTCACCTGGAGCTGACCCCACTTTACTACCATGGTGGAGAGTGGGGTGAGAAGTAGGACCAAGTGGCCCCTGCCAGGACCCAGTGCACAGCAGGTCAGCGGCGGGTGCTGCAGGAAGCCCGGCTGGTGGTGTCTGACTTGCAGCCAGGGCTCAGCCACTGAACACAAAGGGCCAACATGGTGGCAGGGGCTGTTGGGTACCCTTCCTAACTTTCTTCAGTCTCCGAAAATGTTACAGTGGAAAGATGTGGTGGGAAAGGGGAAATTTTACCCATCTTCAAGGGGGCGCCTGTTCTGGGACTCAGCACGTACCCCCTTTCCATTTTGCTGCCAGAGTCTGTAACTGTAACCTTGGCCTGTTCCCCACATGATTTCCCAGCATATCCACCCATGGCACAATCAAGGGAGGTGCTGCTATGCCTAAGAGCCAGGCATAGGGACACATGACACTTTATGTACCTTCATCAGGAGAGGACAGAGGGGCTAAGATTTTAACTCTGAACTGTGGTATCTTGGTTTGTATGTGGGAAGAGCCTGCTGGAACATGAATGCAAAGGATTGAACCCCAACAGGCGAGGGCAGAAGACGCTCAGTGTATGTTAATACCTACCATACACGCATCTGTATAATACCATCTTTACTTGAAAAGATAACATGCTCTCCAAATGAAGAAAAAAAAGATACCTGAGGTCTCATCCGTGGGTTCCATCGTACATAATAGTTCACCCATAATTCCAAATGACTCAGACTAGCAACAGGATATAACACGTGGTTTTCATAATTCACAAAGAAGGGATTGGAGAATTCATCTAGCTGGCTATTGATGTATGACCATAAAGATATAGTTTTTGTACATATATCCTGAAAAACAAAAAAGAAATATAATAAACCTCTCTTCATAGCCTCAAGAATTAGTATACCATGGAGAAAAGGACTTGGATGACGACATGAATTCAAATGCTAAAAAATTCACAAACATTTACTAAGCTGCACCACTCATGGCTCCATGCAGGGGACAGCATAAAAACACGTACTGGTTGCTCTCCTAGAAAAACATATTGCTGAAGTTAGGTAGTTGCTAACAGTGTATATGGGAAGGCAGAATAAGAACTTTCTATAACCAGACGATGAGAGGGCCCATCCATAACAATAACTTTTTTTTTAATTCTGGTGTAAAGTTTGCTTTTGTGACTCTTAATATTGAGGAACATGGGTAAAATTTACAGTTAAGTTTCCTCATAATGGAAAATCATGACTATCTGGAGGAAAATGCACCATGTTAGCAGGCTGGAGAAGCTTTATACAGCATATCATTAAATCATATCTTCCCCCAATTTTATGGTACATTGTTTAGGAATTCTGTAACTACATGCATTGTCTATGTGAGAGAAAACACCCACATTTGCAAGTGTCATAAGGCAGGTAAACATTAAACATTATATCAAACACAATGGCAAAGTGAAAAGACAAAATGGTGAGATCAAGAGAATTTTCTACCATTCTGCTGTTCTCTTCCTGCAAGGTATCTCTCAATAGATACAGGAATAATTAGAACCATTTCTTTTCTATATATATTGTATATGTAGTAAGAGAAACAACAGCAATAATTCAAGGGCTTCAGAATAACCAAAATTATCTTGAAAAAGAACAAAGTAGGAAGACTTACAATTCCTATTTTTAAAACTTACTACAAAAGCTATAGTAATCAATACCAACAGTGCTGGCATAAGGACAGACGTGCAGACTGATCGACTACAGAGTACAGAAATGAACTCTCTCACATTACAGTCAACTGATTTTCAACAAAGTTGGCAAGAAGATTCATTTAGGGGAAAGATACTCTTTCCAACAAATGATGCTGGAAGACCTACACAGAAAACACATAAAAAAACACACCATTTATAAACATTAAAAGGGACCACAGACCTAAAGGTAAAAGCTAAAACTATAAAATTCTTAGAAGGAAACATAGGAGGAAATCTTCATAACCTTGGTTAAGCAATGGTTTCTTAGATATGATACCAAAAGCAACAAAAAACAGATAAATTGGACTTTATTAAAGTTTAAAACATTTGTGCTTTAAAGGACACCATCCAAAAAGTTAAAAAACCCACAGAATGGGAAAAACCTTTTGCAAATTATATATAAGGGACTTGTATATATAAATAATGTATAAAGAGCTCTTATCATAATAAAAGATAACCCTATTTAAAAATGGACAAAGGATTTGAACTGACATTTCTCCACAGAAGATACACAAATGGCCAATACGCACATAAAAAGATGCTTAACATCATTAGTCATTAGGGAAATGCAAATCAAAAACACAACATACCACCTCCTACCCACTAGGATAGCTACAGTGTTTTTAAAGAAGGGAAATAAGTGAAGAAATCAGAACCTCAGACATTGCTAGTGGGGATGTAAAATGGTGCGACTACTCTGGACCACAGTTTGGCAGTCCCTCTAAATGTTAAACACATAGTTACCATATGATCCAGCAATTCCATTCCTATGTATATGCCCAAAAGAAAGCCCATGTCCACACAAAAACTTATCCTTGAGTAGATATAGGAAGCAGCACTATTGATAAAAGCCAAAAAGCAGAAACCACCCAAATTTCTATCAACTGATGAATGGATAAACAAAATGTGGTATATCCACATACTGGAACGTTTCTCAGGCCTAAAATGGCAGGAATTACTGGATGAACATGCTAAGTGGAGGAAGCTTCCATTTATACGCAATGTCCAGAACAGGCAGATCCACTGAGACAGGAGATTGGTGGATGCTGGGGGCAGGGGCAATGGGAAGCGACTGCTAATGGGTACAGCAATTCTTTTGGGGGTGATAACTTTATGAAATTAGATATTTGTGATGACTGCACAATATGTGAACATGCTAAAATCACTGAATTAAATACTTTAAATGGTTGAATATTATGCTATGTCAATTATATTGCAAGAGAGCTGATTTTTTTTTAAGGAGAGTAAATTTTATGCCCCCCTAAAAACAAACCTGTTATAAATCCTTAGTTTAAATTCTATGTATGAACTTCATTCTTATGTTGCTGGTTTTGTTTTAAATGGTTTTATTAAGATATAATTCACGTACCATATGATTCACACTTTAAAATATGTTTTTATTAAGAGGTTAACAGGGCCCCATCATGCTGGGCCTGCAGAAGTGTGGATTTTATCCTAACTGCAGTGGGAAGCAGGGGAGAGGCATGTGAGCAGATTCAAGCTAGTGAATGCTTGCTCTGCTCGCCATGTTTAGAACAGACTACTGAAGGTCAGAAATGCAAGCAAGGCAGCCGGTCCCTGGGCTGCTGCCTTAGTCCAGATGTGCAACAACAGAGGCTTCACTAAGCCTGTAGCTGTAACACAGTTAAGAAGTGGCCAGATTAAAAACATATTTGGGGGGACAGGGCCAGCATTACTCACTGATGGATAGCTGGGGTGAGGTGAGGGCAAGGGAGGAACTGAAAGGACTCCTGTGTATCTGGCCTCAACATCTAGATGGCCAGTGGGAAGCAAGAGACCAGGAGAGGAGCAGAAAATGGACAAAATCACCTAAAGAGAGAGAAGAAGGCTTGGGATAAGAAGATGACCCAGGACTGGGCCCAAGTGAGTCCAACTTTTGAGACAGGTTAAAATGTCAGCCAAACACAGAAGACTATGCAGGAGAAGCCATTGAGGTAGGGCCGAGGCAGAAGTAGAGTCATGGGATGAGGGAGGGATCAACTGTGGGGAGGCTGTTAGGAGACGGAGGAAGGTGAGGTGGGCTTTCCTGACAGACCAGGTCCCCCTGAGTTCTAGAACGTTCTAATGCACTTAGCTCATATGTGGGAGCCCCTTTCTATTAGCCAGATGGTATACTCTAAGCTGCCTTTTGCCAACTCCATCTCATGTTTGACTATTTCTTTCTTTTACCCCTAACTGAGGAAAAAAAGGAAGAAGAGGTAAAATGTAACTCTGAGAAACGTGACACCTGTTTTTGTTTGTTTGTTTACCAGCTCTGTGAAAAAGAAAGTTCTAAAGTAAGGTTTTTGGCTAATTTAAGACTTCATTTTTTAAAGGTCTTCACATATGGTTCTGCCCAGCACCACAGAGAATGAAAAGCGAAACCATACTGTTTTGGAGTTGGTGCAATGAATAGTACAGGAACTTGGAGAAAGGAGATCCAGGGTCAAGTATTGACCTTACTCCTTAGAGAGCCCTGGGCTCGCTCCAACCAAGCCCCCATACCTATAAAGGGACTTATGTTAGACACATGTGGCGGGGCCACCAGCACCCAGGGTGCATCTACCACAAGCCCACCTTTACAGTCAACAGGGGCAGGGCCCACCGTCCGCCCTCCATTCAGTCCCTTTATTGTAGTGGCACTTCCTGGGGAAGATGTTTGCAAACAGGGAAAGAAACGGATGAGAACATAACACACTTACCTCTTTGAGTCGCTGTTGTTCACAGTTGCACAGAAAGGTCCCAAAGAGACAACTATAAAGGTGGTCCAAAATTGTAATCAAAAATAGTTCATTAAACTCGAATGCTGAAGGGAACTTAAATGGAGAGAAAGATAAGATTGAGTCTGATTTCTACAGCAAAGTAATATTACGTTTTGTGACAGACAGGTGAACTGCAACTTGGAATATAGTCAACAATTATAAAGAAGACTGAGCTAATGAAAAACTCAACTATCTATGGTTTCGAGTCCAAGCTTATAGGTAGATCTGGTTGAGAAACAACCAGAAGCAACAGGATCTGCTGTACTCCTCCATGCCAATAAGAGGTTGCACACCTTCCACTCTCAGCACGGTGGGAGAACAGAGCCTGGACTCATCCTTCTGCCAGAAACAATAGGCAAGCTAGATAAAACATGAAATAACTGGTTTTGGACATGAATAACAAGCAGCACAGGACTGTATCCTGAGAGAAGGGACAGAAATGAGTGGAGCCCTCCTATTTTCCCTGCTGTCCACCTAAAGGCACATTTCAGGTTACAGAGCTGGAAGCAGGGGCAGTCCCAGACATACATATATATATATATACACATACATATACATGTATATACATGTATGTGTACGTATGTGTGTGTATATATATGTGTGTGTGTGTAAAATGAGTCAAGAAGTAACAGAAAATATGAATGGCTCTGCATCAATATAAGAAACAGCTCCTGATTAAGACTTTCCCATAAATACAGATCCATGGACACACATCCTCAAACCCTTACCAATGTACACAAGCAAGTTGAACCTGGCAATATATAAAAAGGGCACTATGACATGACTAAGTAGGGCTTACTTGAGGAATGCAAGGCTGGCTTAACATTTGAAAGTTGATGTTATAAAAAAATCAGTTACTATAATTCACTATATTAATAGAGTGAGGATGAAAAACCACATGGTCATTTCTGTTCTACTGTTTCAGATAGTTCTTAATGGGGTTTTGCAGAATTTCGATGAAGACTACTACCATTGCCAACATGTTCTAGTCAGTAGCTGATACACAGTATCCATGAGATGATCTGGAAATGACACCAATGATCCTAGTAGTAGGCATGTCCTGAGTGCCTACCACATGCCAGAATTCTACAACAAAACCAAATAGAGCTACCCAGCATCTTTGTATGTAGGTCAGTTTACTTTAAAGACCTATTTATCAATCACAGTGATGTTTACATACCATCATAACTAATTCTGACATCTCTAGAGTGACAATGAGGATTACTTACAGAAAAGTTTATTTTTTAACTTAGCTTCACTACTTTACTAGACTAGCAACAGGCTTTCCCATTAGAAATAATGTTAAATCCAGGACTGTCCAAACTCTACCTGAAATTGTTATTTACTTCACCAGGCTAACTTAAAAGAATTATGCTCAGAATCCTTGCATTAAGATCTGCCTCTCTCTCCATTTTAAGGATTACTCTCACAGAGACACACAACTCCTTTTCAAGGAGCCTCATCAGAATATCACTTCTCCAGAAACCTCTAGAAACTAGTTCTGGTGGTGGTTCTTACCAGCATTCTTGTTCTAAATCAACGGTGTGATGTCTCTGGCTGAAATGCCAACAACAGTTAGCGGTAAATCCTCTCCTGGTACCTTTCAGATTATCCCTTGCAACTCTGACAATGGGTTCAGGTTCCAAATGTCTAGCTTTTAAAAGGTCAAGCATAATATGTCTGTTTTTCACAGCATTTTTCTATACTTAGTTATGCCCTATTCATATATTATTGAAAACACAGAATTTATGAATTTTAAGCAAATAGATAACAAGCATGTATATTGAAGCTTTATTAAATCAAAATAGGCATGGAAGGCTTAGGGTTTTGTCCTATATTTTATTTTCATACTTTTAAAAATAAACATTTATTAACAAGATAGCAAATTGCTGACATATTTTGTAAGTCATATGAAAGCTATGGACTGATTATCTGTGTCCCTCCAAAATTCACATGTTGACATCCTAACCCCTAAGGTGATGGTATTAGGAGGTAAGGCAGGGGTCCTCACACTTTTTAAACAGGGGGCCAGTTCACTGTCCCTCAGACCGTTGGAGGGCCGGAATGCGAGCCCCGGGACAAGTCAGCTGCTAAGCAGGACAGGCAGTGGTGGCAAAAACATCTGGCGGGCCAGATAAATGTCCTCAGCGGCCACGTGTGGCCTGCAGGCCATAGTTTGAGGATGCCTGAGGTAAGGCCTTTGGGAGGTAATCAAGTCATGAGGGTGGGGCTCTCATGAGTGGGATTAATGGCCTTATAAAAGAGGCCCAAGGGAGCTCCCTTGTTCCTTCTGCCATGTGAGGATACAGTGACAAGACAGCCATCTAAGAACCAGGAAGTGAGCCCTCATCAAACACCGAATCTGCTGATGCTTCGACCTTGGACTTCTTAACCTCTAGAACTGTAACCAATTAATTTCTGTTGTTTATGAACTGCCCGGTTTATGGCACCTTGCTATAACAGCCCAAACAGAGTACAACCTATTCCTAACCCGTAAATGTATATTCTAGACCTGGGAGCTTGGGTGGGTATATTCTAGTGCCACTGACTACAAGCATTATTCTGGCCAATTGGAGACCAAATACGGAAGGGTCAAAGTGGGCAGAGCTTAGTCCAAGCCCATTGGCAACCATAAAAACTGGAAGATAGGGTGGTGCCTGTGGCTCAAAGGAATAGGGCGCCAGCCCCATATGCCAAAGGTGGCAGGTTCAAACCCAGTCCCGGCCGGGAAAAAAAAAAAAAACCTGGAAGATAAAGGCTCCGTCCACTCATACTCAAAGGGCACTGTGGCATTAAACTCAACTCAGAAAACAGCTCATGAAGGAAAATGGTAGAAGCTAGACTAATACAAATAAAAGGGTACATTCATAGTTTGTTTTGGCCTCTTCTCCTGGAAACTGTACCATTTACTTAAAAAGTACAGAGTCTAAAAATCTATAGTACAGTAATCTATAATAAAATTTTATACCTCAAGGAACAAAAATATCAGTGACTATTAAGCTTATCTCAAAGGGTAAAGATTCTATTAAACTATGGATATGAAAAAAATAAACTATGGATATGACAGAATGTCTTTGGGACTCTTCTCTAGATATTCTTTCATTTGTTTTTCTCTTAGTTCCTTTTATATCAGTCTACATACTGAGCAGATCATTTTATTCTGCTATTTCTGACAACTTTACATTGACTTAGCTTACTCAATTTAGAAGCAGGTAAGTTAAAAATAATCTTTTACATAAATGCATCTTTTACTAGCCTACTACCTCATTCCCTTGTTAATTAACTGATAATGACTGATCGTTGAAGTCTCTGCTTCTAATGTATTAACAATGGTATTTTGAAAGAAATTATATCACATACACATACATTTCATGGACAGAAGCTTAAAACTATGAGAGACAACTGAAATTTTCTAACCCAAACCCCTGATTTTTTCCCTTTAAACTACAATAAACAGCAAAAAAAATGACATAACTGAGACATGAAAATAGGCACTAAGCAAAATGAGGAATGGAAGTCAGTTTGAAGATGTTAAAATGCACACACGTACACACACTGAATCCAGGCATTGGAAAGAGATAAAGTTACTTTGCATTCTCAAAAATGATGCTTAAACCATTGGAAGCACTAGAATTATTTTTTGTGTTCAACCTTTTTATGCATTTTCCTAACATGTGTCCCATACTTCCCTAAGCTGAATGTAACGATCATTTAATTGTGCTATTGGCATAACACCAACGCAAACACAAACAGTACACAGCCCTATACGACAGGCTTCTTGCCCAGTTCCATGCCTCTGAAGTATGTATTTGCTCTACCTACTTCTAGGTAGGCAGAGCTTAGTCCACGCCCATTGGCAACCATAAAAACTGGAAGATAGGGTGGTGCCTGTGGCTCAAAGGAATAGGGCGCCAGCCCCATATGCCAAGGGTGGCAGGCCCTACTGTGTTCTAGGGCCACCCCTGTGATCCAGGCCCACTCTCTAACTGGCTTTTAACCAGCTGTGACCTAATAATCACATCGTGTGAGACCACAATCAGTTTTTTGAAGCTAGCTCTGAAAGTAAATGTAAATTCTGATTGAGGGTCTGAGGACTCTGCAGAACCTACTTTGGCTACTCAAAACCCCCTTCCCTTTGCTTTTTTTCTGAAGGTAGTCTATGCTCTCTAGACCCCTTGCCACTCAAAGTGTGGTCTGTGAACCAGCAGTGTCACCCAGTAGCTTGTCAGAAATGCAGCATCTCAGGCTCACCCCAGACCCACTGAATCAGAATCTGCATTTCGACAAGAAGCCCATTCAATCTGTATGCTCATTCACGTCCAAGCAGTGCTAGTCTACAGCAGAGGCCTCAAAGTTGAGCACACATCAGCATTCCCTTGAGTGTTTGTGAATCCAGAGTGCTGGGGCCTCCCCTCCCAAAGCACCAGCAGGTCTGCCATGGGCGCTGTAAACTGGTATCTCTAACAAGTTCCCAGGGGATGCTGAGGCAGTTGGTCCCAGGATCACATTTGGAGGACCAGTCTAGATAACTGGTCTTCAAACTCATGTGTACATCCAAGTCACCCAGGGAACGTTTTGTACACACCTAAGCCTCTCCCCAGACCCACAGGAAGAAGGTTGCCAGCATGTATTCAAGGTGAACAGCCATGGCTCTTCCAGATCCTCCGTAGAGCAGAGCTACTGGGGAGCGGGCCCAGCTGAGATGGAGGGAGCAGCATAGTGTGGTAGCTGTCAACCTTCTTTCTGTCACAGCACACACACTCCCATTAGCAACAATAGCTTGCAGCAGGGACACAGGACTGCTATTTCACAGACTTTCTGCAGTAAAGAAGGAGATGACCTCTGCAAAGACCCTATGGTGACTGTGATCAGGCTGCCAGGAGGATTAATCATGAGATCACGGCTGTTGGTAGAATTCCTATTCCCTTCCCCATGACAGAAGCAGCCAAGGCCAGAGCTCCTGGTGAATGACTAGGAAGGAGAGGTCCCAGACTCTGGTTCTCAGCCCCCTAACTTACTCTTTTCCCCACAGACCCCTCAGCTGGACTGGGCAGCATACACTGCGGGAAACTACTTTCTCCTTTGTCTCCTCCCTCCCTCTGCTTCCAGATCCATTTCCCTGACACTATCTCATCTCATGAGGGTAAGATCTCAACTGAGGGCTGGACAAAATGCTAGCAGCTTCTTATCTGCCACTGATTGTTGGACACATTTGCCTTGGGATGGGAGGGGCTGTGATCTTGGGCAGAATGTGGAGATTCCTGGATTCCCTGATCTAATCCCACTAACTAACTAGTAGTGTAGTCATCACCTCATGTCTGACATCTGCCCAAACCTTAGATTAACTGCTCAAGAGAAGGCTGTGTTTCCTTAACCAGACAAAAAATCCCAACAAAATGGAACAGTAGAAGTAGAATCTAAGAGCTTTGGTTTGCACAACTGGTAGGCAAAATGATTGACAAGAACCATTTGCAGAGATAAGTAACTGTTGGTGTGAAATTGATTGTTTCTAATTTTCTGCTTATATTTATAAGTGAATTAGAATGAAATAGTACTAAACAACAGAAGGGGTCATATTTTACACATATCCATTCATTTTGAATCAAACAGCAATGAAAATTTTTCTAATCTTAAATTTTAAGATATATTTAAATCAAAGACTATACAGGTCAGAAATGCACTTGAAATCTCTCACCTGTCTTGTCATTTGCCAAACACAATCAATAAACTGAAGAAATATAGGAGAGCGGTCAGCATCAGCATGGTTGTCATCGCCGTGGCCCACTCGCTGAAAAGCAGCAAAGAGACATTTTAAGGTATGCTATGGTCTTCTCAAAAGTCACTTTAAATTGCCTGGTGGCAGGAATCAAGTCTCATAGAATTCCTGGTACATAACAGGCACTCAAAAATGTTCACTGGATTACACTGACTTCTATTACTTTTAGGAACCAAAATTTCAGTTTACTATATAGTATTTTTGCATGTTGTTTTAGAACTTCTCCTTAATATAGTTTATGTTAAGAAATTATAAATAACTGACTAGCAAACTTTTCAGTTCAAATGGTGAGATCAAGACCAGCCACTACACCCAATGCACCGGGTTGGCATGGGGCTACCAATTTATAGCTCATAAAACATATGATTGATGTTGTTTTCTCCACAAGTATAAAAACATTTTTTTCCATTTTTAAGAAATGTCAGAAAGTCTGAGAATCAAAATAATGATTAACATCCTACAAGTTTTAACCAATTTTACATGACTCAGAGAATCCCCAAATCTCAGTCTTGAAATGGTAATGGAGGTCCTTACCTAAGGCCGTCCAGTATTTTATTTCATACTTTTTGATATTTTATGAGATATTACATAGATTCATACTAAAAGGTGCAAGATAGTATTCTAAAACATATAAACAGAATTGTCAAAAACAGTGAAATGCCCCAAGTAAAGAGATAGCTAAAGAATGAGCATTCTAAGAGAAGCTTCAAATAATCTGCTAACCAAATGGATGAAAAAGAAAAGGGACATTATGAAGATACAATGTGATCAATACCTAGAAAGAGCAAAATATATCTATGAAATTGCCACCTGGAAAGACACAAAAACAAGGAAATGACCAAGTCACCATTAGCATCTCAGAGTAATGGCATATTGCCTTTTAAAAAAATTAATTATGGTAAAATATACATAAAATGTACCACCTTAACCACTTTCAAGTGTACAGTTCACTGGCATTAAGCACACTCATTATGCAACCATCACCACCACCCATCTCCAAACTTTTTCACCTTCACAAACAGCAACTCTACAGTGGTCTTAATGGCTTATATCCAGTTCTAACTCCCCACTGCCCCTGACAGTGACCACTCTACTTTCTGTCTCTATGAATTTGATTATTCTCGGTTCTTCATATAAGTAGAAACATACAATGTTTATCCTTTTTTGGATGGCTTATTTCTCTAAACAAAATATTTTCAAGATTCATCCACGTTGTGCAGTCACTGGTAACCAGGACCAGACCAGCTGTGGGGGGCACTGTGAGAAGGAAGCCTTCCTGGAGTGGGTTCAAGACAGACTAGATGGAGTGAAATAATGACAGCGAGTGCTGACAACAGTTTTGAGGAGCTTTCCTGTAAAGAGGAAGAGATAAATAATTGATAGCTGGAGGGGGTCGTGGGGTGTTTCTGGGCCAATGGGAACAATCTAGGAAAGGGGGCCTGAAGGCAGGATAATGGGAAGAACAGTCAGTAAGGTCCATGCCGCAGATGACAGAAGCAGGTGGGCAAGGCCAGGCACTGGCTCATCACAGAACTCAAGGTAAGAGAGAGTACAGGGACCTAGCAGGTGGGTAGCTGCAGGCGTTAAATCACTGGTTAAATGCTGGTTCCACCGTAACTAGCTATGGGATCTTGGGCAGATAACTCACACTCCCACAACCTCATTTTCCCTGTCTCTCCATGACAGCATGTGCCTATGAGGATTAAACAAGATGATGCTTGTAATAATGCCAGACAGACAGTGATGCTCGCAGCTGTCCTCACTGTGGCCATGGTGATGAGCCCCAGCATATCAGATGGTAGGGCCAGGAGCAGAGCATTGTAGGCACATCCTGATGCACGCACCCCAGGTAACCCTGGTAGCCGGTCTTCACCACTGCCCCCTGGGAAGTGCCCCTGCTGGCCTTCTCTCCCCTAGGATATACGGTTTTCAGAGAAAAGGTAGAAGGGAATAGTCTCTGAGTCTTTAGAGCTGGCCAGGTATGAACATCTGGAAAAATTTCCCACTCTCTCCTCCCTACTGAGCCCATCTTGCTGATGGAGAAGAAACAAAAGAGTAGTTTAAACCTCACCCAGCCCCTAGCGCAGGACAGGCACTGTCCTAAGCACTCAACACGTACAACCTCATTTCCCTCACACAACACCATTTCAGAGAGAAGGAAAATCAAGGCAAGAGAGGTGAAAGAAGCTGTCCAGGGACCTGCCAATAGCTCCCAGAGGGCATGCAGCTGAGAGGCTGTTGACTGGTCCCTTCCCTATGGGAGCACTTCTCTCAGGCTTTACCCCCCAAATTGAAAGCATGCTGTTACAGGCTGCATTGTGCTCTCCTCCCAAACTGGAGCTCTATGCCCTAGTACCTGAGGAATGAGACTGTTTTATTGATATAGGACATTTACAAAGGGTAGCAAATTAAAATGAGGCCATCGGAGTGGTCCCTAGCTCAGTCTGACTTTATAAGGACATGTGGACACACAGAGAGACCCCAAGGGTGCACGCACAGAAGAAAGACGCCATGAAGAGGCAGCAAGAGGGAGGCCATCTGCAAGCCAACAAGAGGAGACCACAGGAGAAATCAACCCTGCTGGCAATCTCCAGAACTGTGAGAAAATAAATTTCTGTTGTTGAAACCACCCTGTCTGTGGTACCTTATGGTGGCAAAAATGTGTACACCAATGTTTGTAGCAGTTTTGCTCACAATAGTCCAAGGTGAAAACAACCCAAGTGTCCATCAATAGATGAATAGAGAAAGAAAATGTGGTGTATACACACAAGGGAATACTATTCAGCTACAAAAAAATGAAAATTTGATATATGTTATAACACGAATGAACCTTGAAAATGTTGGGCTTAGTGAAAAAAACCCAGTCATGGGAGGACAAATATACAATTTCATGTACATTATACAAGTACATAAACAGGTACTTAGCAAGGGCAAACCACAGACAGACAGAAAATGGGATAGTGGTTGTCAGGAGCTGAAGGAAAAGGGGAAATGGGAAGTGACTGCTTAATGGGTATGGGGTTTCCTTTGGGGGTAATGAATACGTTTTGGGACTAGATGGATGTGATGGTTACACGGCACTGTGAACACAGTAAAGGGCACGCAGCTGAGCATTTTAAAATGGTTATTTCCATGTTAAGTAAATTTTACTTCAATTATGTTAAAAAGGCCTAACAACACTAGAAAACCAAAAAACACAAGAATTCCATACCAAGAACATACTCAGGTCCATGTATTCTATCATGGCAATTTAGATCTGCACCTATGTGTGCATGCTTTCGTGTGTCAGGCAAGACACATGCACATATATGACAGGGCAAACAGTCAAGCGTATACTTTACTGTCTCAACTTACCAGCGCAAACCTATGGCCAAAGCTTATCCACTCCTTTTCTATGAGAGCTTCAAATCCTTTAATGGTACGGTAATAACTGTCCAACATGAGCATAGCCAGAGATGTGAGCTGTGCTGTTCGGTCCCAACCGTCACTGCAATGTACCACCACGGAGGTTTTCCCAGATTCTATTTTATCAGCAATTCTTACTGCCCCGGCCAGAAGCATCTTTAGAAAAGAAGGCATGTTAGACCAAGCTATGTTTAATTTTGACTACAATATAAAATAATTCTGGGGAGAACTTTGGAAGTTCTGGACAATAAACCAAATGAGACTGCCATGAAATCAACTGAGAATCACTAGGAAACATTAGTGTGTTTAAAAAAAAACCAAAACTTGGGCGGTGCCTGTGGCTCAAAGGGGTAGGGCACCAGCCCCATATGCCAGAGGTGGTGGGTTCAAACCCAGCTCCGGCCAAAAACTGCAAAAAAGAAACAACAAACAAACAAACACACACAAAAAAACTTTTACTAAAAAAAACTATGGTAAATAGGGCCTTTTATTAAAGGGCCACAAAGTTCAAACCTGACCTGAGACAAATCCTATGCTCCTCTTTTCACTATGACATGGAAGCCCTGCACAGAGACTGTCACTGGAAACTACAGAAGTTCATGCACATAGCCCCCAGGTGCTTATTTGTGATGCTGAGAAGCTGCTTGGAGATACTAATATTGTTGGCCTAGACAAAGAGAAGTCTTAACAGGAAAGCATATGAAATACTGGACCTCTTTACCCTTATGTATTCCAGCCAGTGAGTCCCATCCACATTGGACAGCCACCGGGCCTCATCAATGGAAGGATACACTATCTCCTTTAATTTGCGCAGCGACTCTCTCATCACATGAATGTTGTGGATCTCCAAGAACAAGAGCTCGGCATTTGGGTAAGCACTTTCACTTTCATATCCTCCACCCTTTGCCTGTGAAAGACAAGAGAGATACATATCACTTTACCTGGAGTTAACTTTTCTCCTCTTTTTAGTGCCATCAGACATAGATCACTAAAGCAACCAACTCATCAGTTAATAAATCTCCTGTATCCTTGTATGAGTTTCCTAGGGCAGTCAGAATAAATACCACAAAGTGGGTTGCTTAAAACAACAGAAATTTATTCCCCCCCCCAGTTCTTTTTTTATTGAGACAGAGTCTCACTCTGTTGCCCTTGGTAGAGTGCCGTGGCGTCACAGCTCATAGCAACCTCAAACTTTGGGGCTTAAGCAATTCTATTGCCTCAGCCTCCCAAGTAGCTAGGACTACAGGTGCCCACCACAACATCTGGCTATGTTTTGGTTGTAGTCGTCGTTGTTGTTTTAGGCAGGCCCAGGTTCGGTTCAAACCCATCAGCCCCGGTGTATGTGGCAGGCACCCTAGCCACTAAGCTATAGGAGCTGAGCCTCCTCCATAGTTCTAAAGGCTGAAGCCTGAAACCACACTCCCATGGGACCTCTAGGGAGGAGCCTTCCTTGGCTCTTCCTGGTGTTGGCCGCCCCAGACATTCGTAGCTTATAGACACCTCACTCTAACCTCTACCTCTACTTCCACCTGACTTCCTTCCCTTTCACTGGGTCTGTCTCATGTCCTGTTCTTCTCAGGTTTAAGGCCCACGCTAATTCAATATGAACTTGAGTTCATACTGCAAAGACCATATTTTGAAATAAGGTCATGTTCACAGGTACCAGAAGTTAGGAATTCACTATATCTCTGAGATGACACTGAGATGTGCTTAAGGAACTAAAGGGAGCCTCACAAAGTTGGGACATGGACGTGAGAGATGTGATGAAATGGATCGAAAGGGCCCTGTTCAGGAATGTGGCATGCCTCAAGGCTCTGAGGGATGTGCAGCACTGTACACTCATAAGATCAAGCACAACATGGTGACTGCAGCCAATAACAATGTAGTGTATGCTAAAAAATTGCCAAGAGGGTAGATTGTATGAGTCCATAAAAAATAAGTATGGGCGATTATGTTAATATTAATTAGTTAAATGTAGCCATCCCATAATGTATACTCATTTCAAAATATCAGGTTGTACATCATATAGATATACAATTTATTTGTCAATAATAATAATAATAATAATACATAACATTTTTAAAAAGATCTGGCAATAATATGGAGACTAGATTGCAGGATGTGACACAGAAGTCCAAAGACAGGGCCACTGTGGTAGTTTAGGAAACAGAGGATGAGTCTTCCAAAATAGAAAGGAGAGAATATTTTCTAATTCATTCCATGAGGCCAGTAGTGCCCTGATACCAAAACCAGACTGTACAGGACGCCAAGAGACAGATGACCTCTAAGCAAGATGATTTACAGCTGAGGGGTGGACTATCGGGTGATTTGTCCACAGGAGCTCCTTATGGAGAAGGAGCCCGTGCCCTCAGCACGTAGCCTTCCACAAGGCAGGCTAGCCCTTACTTTAGATTGTAAGTAAGATTAGATTGTACTTCTAATCTGCCTCTTGCCTGGTTCCTTCCTGTGCTAACCGAGACCAGGGCCATAGGAGCCCAACGGGTCACGACACCAGACAAAGACATCACAAGATAACTATAGACCAAAATCCCTTACGAAAATAGAAACAAACATCTTCAACAAAATGTGAGCAAACCAAATCCAGTAGCATATATGGTATTTTTTTTTTTTTTTGAGACAGAGGCTCACCATGTCACCCTCGGTAGAGTGCTGTGGCATCACAGCAACCTCTGACTCTTGGGCTTAAGCAATTCTCTTGCCTCAGCCTCCCAAGCCAGGTTCAAATCTCAGTGCATATGGCTGGCGCCGTAACCACTGTGCTACGGCTGCTGAGCCTAGCATACATAGTATTAAGGGGATTACACACCATGACCCAATATGACATACCCCAGGAATGTTAGGAGATTATATTAGCATCCTAACACTGCCATTAAAAAAAAGTGCCACAAACTGAGAGGCTTAAAACAACACAAATTGACTCTCTCATAGTTCTGGAGGCTGGACGTCTGAGAGCAAGGTGTTGGCAGGGTGGTTCCTTCTGGAGGCTGCAGGAGAAAATCTGTTCCATGTCTCTCATGGTTTCTGGTGGTTGCTGGCAATCCTAGGCACTCCTCAGCTTCTAGTTGCATCACTCAAATCTCTGCCTCGATTGTCACATAACCATCTTCATTCCATGTCTGTGTCTCTACACAACCTTCTTATAAGGCTACTGGTCACTGGATTTAGGGCCTACCCTACTCCAGTATGATCTCATCTTAATTATACCTGAATAGGCCATATTTCCAAACAAGGTTGGAATTTTGAAGTTCCAGGGGGAGATGAAATTTTGGAAGAAGGCTTGGTGCTTGTAGCTTAGCAGCTAGGGCGCTAGCCACATAGACCGGAGCTGGTGGGTTCAAATCCAGCCCAGGCCTGCCAAACAGCAATGACAACTATAACCAAAAATTAGCCAGGCATGGTGGTGGGCACCTATAGTTCCAGCTACTTGGGAGACTGAGGCAAGAGAATTGCTTAAGCCCAAGAGTTGGACGTTGCTCTGAGTTGTGATGTCAAAGCACTCTACCGAGTGCGATAGCTTGAGGCTCTGTCTCAAAGAAAAAAAAAGAAAGAAAAAGAAATTTTGGAAGACATTATCCACCCCACTGTGATGATTCAGCCCATAAAAATCTACCAATGTAATAAACCACATTAACAGAATGAAGAGAAAAAACTATATGATCATCTCAATTAAGGCAGAAAAGGTCTTTGACAAATACCAACACCCTTTTGTAAAAAAACAAACACTCAACAAACCAGGAATAGAAGATAACTTCCTTTACTCTCATAAAGGGCACCTATGAGAAACTCACAGTTAATCGTGCACCGAATGATGAAAGGTGAAAGTTGTCCCCCTAAGATTATAAACCAGATGAGGATGCCTGTTCTCACCACTGTGAGTCAACATTGCACTAGAAGTTCTTCTCAGGAAATCAGGCAAGTTAATGAAATGAAAGGCGTCCTGATTAGAAAGGAAGAAGTCAAACTATCTCTAATTCAGATAACAGTCTTATACATACATAGAATGCCAATGGGGGCTTAGATAATAGCCTTATCTGTTTCCTAGACACATACGGTGCCATAGTTAAAATTATTCAGACATGCAATTTGGTGTCCTGCTTCTATCTCTTCTGCACGAAATACAACACAATTAACTGCCTTTGCCGTGATGAATATTTTGAAGATCACCTCTAGGGACGTGGCTTTTCTTGTGTTTAATAATTTGTTAGAATCTGGCAGTGACAGGAAGGATGCAGAGATGAGGAAAGACTGACATAGTAATGACCTACCAGACATAGGGAGCAAAGGGGACATACTGACGAAGCCTATGGCAGCCTGAAAAGTGGCCACCTGCTAATAATATCCACATCAAATCCCTGCCAACTGAGAATGTGACCTTATTTGCAAAATAACAAAAAAGAGTCTTCGCAGATGTGATTAAGTCAAGGACTTGAGATGAAGAGATAATCCCAGATTATCTGGCTGCATCACTGTAAGTATGTTTAGAAGAGATAGGAGACACAGAAACACACAGAGGAAGAGAGGGCCATGGAAAGATGGAGGTGGAGATTGGAGTGATGTGGCTACACACCTAGGAATGCTGGTGTAGCCACCACAAGCTGGAAGAGACAAGGAATAGATTTTCCCCTGGCACCCTCAAAGGGAGCATACCTCTGCCAGATTCTGGACCTCTGGTTTCCAGAACTGTGAGAAAACACACTTCTGGTATTGTAAGCCACCAAGTTTCCGGTAATTTGCATGGCAGCCTCAGGAAACCGTCTCCCATCTTCCCCCTTCCCTGTTCCTTGCCCAGTCTTCTCCATCTCAGTAAGTGGTACCACCATTCACCCTCTGAGCCAGATACCCAGGCAGCCCCCTGGACTGCAGGACTAGTGGGCTTGTCAGAATCGTGCACTGCATGCTGAAGAGGGACCTACCCCTGTGCTAAGTCCTTTCAGTGCATTATTCTCACTTCAATTTTAATCCTCACCCAACCCTTGACAGGGGATACTGGTGTTACTTTCCATCTTGCAGAAGAGGAACCTGAGGCTCAGAGAGAGATGAAGTAGCTGGCTCAGGGTTTTACTGAGCATTCAGTGGCAGAACATGGAGGAAAATGCACATGTAACTAATTCCAAAGCCAAGGGGTCTCACCACCCTGCCACCCTGGCCAGTTGGAATACACTGAAGGTTTGTGACCTTAGAAACAGCCAAGTGGAGATGTCAACCATACAATGGGATAGAAATCAGTCTCAGGAGGAATCATAGCAGTATGGAAAGTGTGGTATCAAACTCAGTACACAGATTGTGTTTAAAATTATGTTAGCAGAGAAGATAACCTGGACAGATTGTGTACAGCAGCAAAGAGGACCCCAGGCCGGGTCCTGGAAGAGGAGAAGAAGAACTAGTGAAGGAGACCAAGAGGCCAGAATGGGAGTAAGAGAAATTCAGGGTATGATGTCATGAAGGTCAAGAAAATGGAGTGGGCCACTCTGAGATCAATACCAAATGCTTTCTCAAGGACAGGCACTGTTCTGGGCCTGTTACAGTATTTCCTCATTTAATCTTCACATCTACTCCACTAAGTAGGTAACACTGCCATTCCCACTTGAAAGATGAAGCTCTCCCAATCAAAAGGGATGAAGTGACTGCCTGGGTTCACATTGCCAATAGCCAGGCTCCTCCTGCACCCTCTCTGAGCACCCTTTATTTTCCTTCACACCACTGTGGACAAACACATGAGAATTTGTGCAGCTACTTGTTTAATATGTGTCTCTCCTACTAAGCTGAACAGTTGGCCACAGTGATCCCCAGCGGTAGCAGAGTCTAGCACACACAGGTATTCTAGTACTGATGGAGGATGGCCAAGTATATGTCTGATGGTTTGTTTGCTCTTTGAAGTAGAAGACAATGGCATCTCCTGAGAGCCAGATGGGAAAGGTAGAGGAGGTTGGCTTATTGGAGATTGTTGTCAGAAATGCCATAATCATTGAGGAAAGAAAAGGAACAAGCTGACAAGAGAAACTAAGTTGGATTTGCAAACAGTGCTGATGGGGACAATAGAGAGAGGGGTGACCACACCTTTAGACATCTTCCTTCTTGCCACCCTTGGGTATGACATGCCTTGCCACATAGTTGGACAAGTACTCATGCTGCCTAGAACACACTGCCCATTTCTGCCACTGACCATGAGAAGCCCACTCAAATGGCATCTCCTCTGTGAAGCCCCCTCCCCCACCTTACGGGGCTAGCCATTCCCCACCAGCTCCTTCAGTTCATCAAGCTTAGACCTCGTACAGGAAGCAACTTACCTGGTGTTTATATTGCCCCAGCGCCTTACCCCTACTGGGTGCTCATTAGATGTGTGCTACCCAAGAGTTATTTTATAAATAGGCCTGAGATGGGAAGGGTTGTGGTTACCTTCCTAACACCTGAAATTACTTAAGGGGAGGGCGACATCCTCTGGCTGCCAAATGCCTACCTACAACGCACTGTCAGAAAGTCATGGGAAATAGGAATGACACAAATCAGCGCTTTTCCTATTTGGACAGCAGGTATTGCAGGCCTGATGTCATAGATTTTGCTACATACAAAGGACCATACCCCTGCAGCCGGTGAAGAGCAAATGGGAGCTGACTGCAGAGGTGCTTGGATCACATCTCCTTGTCACCTTTTTAGGTACCAGTGCTCTATGTGATTTATGGGAACTTTATATCTTTGCAGTTTCACGTGGCTGATTCCATGCTAAAAGAGCTTCACACCTAACAAGAACTAATCAAGGTAGCACTATATGTATAAAAGGGACTTCTGATGACCTCATAATTATTTCATTAAAATACTTAATCCTGGGATGATAATTCCCTTTGTACGTCTTTGCTTAATTGATTCAGCACACAGGACTGTAGAGAAGCAATGAAAGAGACACCATCCCAACCCACGTGAGACACCAACATAGCCCACAGAGTATATACCAGCTCTGGACTCCTTCAAATTTCCTGCAGGTGGTGAGGAATGCAAGTTCAAATAGTACATACGAAAATATACACTGTTTCTGCAATGTTGTTGAAAAGTACCTTGTTGGTATCAGCAACACTGTTTTGTCGAGCATCAAAGATGACAAGTTTGTGTGACTGTGCATTCGCATCCATTATTGTTTGCAAGTACTTTTCATCCTCTTTGCAGCGTTTATCATTGGGACCCACAAGTGGCTGGCTGCAACGGGTAATTGTTGCCTGACTTTCTGGATGAATCCATGACAACACCTAGTGTTTTTAAACAACAAGTATTAGTAGAGTTCTTTAAGCAATGTACGCTCTAATTACTTGGCAGGAAAAACAAATTCCCTTCTCAAACAGTCTCTTTTGAACATTTTCCTCCCGGGAGAGGGAGGCCAATCATAGCAGTAAAGTGGCCATGGGACTCAACGTTTGGTCATGTTGAAACAAGTCTAAGTTAGCTCTAAAAATCCGCTTCTGTCTTTAGAAGTCTAGGATTCTAAAAACAACAAAACGTAAGGCAAACTATTATTAAAATCAAGCCCCTTTCCTATTTGATTGACCAGTTTTATCATCTGCTAATTTAAAAAGCATCTTTATGTCTCAACAATAACATGTGGCAGGATGAGGGCAAAATGAATATATAGTATCTTATAAAATTTCAAACTCTGCTACCAAAACTCTTACTTTCCTCCAGTGGCCAAGTGACTCAAGACCACACAGATGCAAACTCTGGGCTCAAACCATCACTCAATGCTTGGCTGCTAAGACTTTCGTTAACAGCACTCCTCCCATGCAGACAAAGATTCCACTCTGCACCTATGAAAGGATGCTTCTCTAGGAGGATTCAAGAAAACCAGCAATGTCGAGTGGTAACACAGCAGTGTGCTCTCTTGCTCCTCCTGTTATTCTATATCGCACTTTGAAAGCATGACTTATGTTACCCCTGTACTCAGTAATAGGAAATCAGATGAAGGGGAGTCATAACAAGCTGATTGCTTATAAAATTACATATTTCTTGAAAATCAAAGATATGTTCTGTTTAAAAGCTTATTTTTCTACTTTCTATTTTGATTCACTAGATTCTTTTCAGTCTTGCACCTTTCCATATTATATCTAACACAGTATATGTTTCTATTTAAATGGCAGTATTTATTACTTACAGGGACTCTGCCTTTGGCTCGAAAGGCTGCCACTTTAGAAAGGTCATCATCTTTTACACTAGTTGGCACAACAATGATCGCAGGGTAGGTATCACAGAACTCATAATTACTGTTAATTTTGGATATTTTCCAACTCTCATTTGGCAAGCCCTGCAGGTTGTTGGAAAGGAAAGAAGGGGGAAAGCATGTTTTTACACTTCAAAAATACACTAAGCACCAACCATATCCAAATCTTATTTTCCATGAAAATCCATTTATAATTTGTTGTTTTTACTTTAAGTTCATATTTTAAATATTTGCCTGGTATAACCTATTTTGCAGACATTTCTAAAACTCTAATGAAGCATAAGAATTTTCAAACCAAACTAACACATGAAAATTGTACACTAGAATCCCTGGTCTATATAGTTCTTGTCTTCTATAAAGAATGAGTTTAGTGTTATTCTGGAAAACACACCTGAAAGTCCTCTAGAAAAACAGCTATGTCTCACAAATGTCTAAAATAAGTAATATAAAACATTATAAAACAAATATAAGGTAGAGACAAAGGTTAAATGTCATGAAAATAAGATATTCCTAGAATGACTTAAAGCTGGAGTGCCGTACCACTAATGATTACACCACAGGCTTCAATTCTAACTTACATTAGAGGTTCATGAACTCCTTACCAGAACAGCTAATAAAAACCATTTGGCATATTTGGTCTTTTTGTTTTTTTTTTTTTTAGATTTGGTTTTTAAATCTTGTCTTTGACTCTCACCTCTGGAAACAGGATGAACAAGGAGTGACAGAGCCAAAGGTTTGGCACAGGGAGAAACAGCCATTGGGAAATGGAGAAGTTAGATTTTCAGTTCGATAAGCAACATACTTTACCTGTCTCTTATATTCAGATACTGGATCATAAACTTTCCAGCCATTAATTGGAAATTTTTCTTTATAATTGAATGCAAATAGTGCCTGGATATAAAAACAACAAAATACACGTCAGTATCTCTTTTTTATATCACATACCCAATAACAGAACTTTTAATTCTGATAAGAGTTGAATGCATTAAAGTTCTTTTTTTCTGTTAATTTTGAAGCAGCAAATTAGCAGCTTTTCTTAATCACTGTACAGGATTAAAAAATTCCAAATATTCTAATATTACTTATCCACAGAGGAAAAAAAGAAATGAAGAGGTTTCTGGAAAAAGGAATAATTAAACATAAAATTTTGGACTTCCCCCCTCAAAAAAATACAAGCAAAACCAGGTTTACTTTGGTATATTTACCTGCCCATTGGAAAGGGGAAATGCATGTTTGTTGAGGTTTTCAAATATCCCTAATTTACTCTGTTCTTCCTGTTTATAAGCGAGTCGCAAGTTCCTCATATCCTGTTAAACAAATTAGCAAAACTCAGTTATTCAATGTATTGAGCACCTAGGAGCCAGACACCACAATATAAATAGGTTAATATAATATTTCTGATTTTATAGTCTACCTTGCTCCAACTAACAAAAGATAATTTAACAAAAATACCTGCAATAATAAAAAAAAAACTTGAGGAAACTGGAATGAAGGGGACATGTGCAGGGAAAAATTTAGCAAATGGAATCAAAAATAAGGTTCTTATACAAAAGTTGTACCATCAAGTCCTGGTCACTTACTCGCTAAAGGTGTGCCATGGAATCAGTTGTGCTTTTTAAGCTGCTAAAAGAGTCAGTTATAGAATTCACACCATCCATAAAATAGAAACGTGGCAGATGCTTCTTCCCTGTGTCCTCATAAAAAGGACTCTGTATCATGTAGACTGTAGCCCTGGGTGACATCCTAATAGACATATTATGCTGTCCCTAATGCAAACTGAAGGCCCAAAGCCCAAGTACAAGTCAGCAAGAACAATCCCCCAGGCCAGCTCTGATGGTGTGATTTCTTCCACAATGTTCTGAGTGTAGTGTCCACACCCCCACCTTTTAAAATTTATGCCCCTGTTAAACACAAAAGCCTCATCATCTTTAACATTATATGAAATGTGAAAATAAATATGACTACAAATTAAAGCAAAAGCAATTTGAGAAGTGAAGTTATTGTGATATTATTAATAACAGCAAGAGAATAAGAATAACCTAAATGTCCACCAACAGGGGCGAGTTACGTAAACTACAGCACAGTTAATGGAATTTTAAAGAAACACCAAAAACAAGCAGCAACTCTATACATACTGACAGAAATAAGTTCCAACATGTATTGTCAAGGGAAAAAAGGAAGGAGAAGAGTATACATCATATATCACCATTTTTACTTACAAAAAAGAGTGTACATACATAGACAATCCTTAGTATACCTGTGGAGGGTACATTAGACACTGTAATGTGGGGGCCTACAAGGAGTGGAACAGAGTGGTTGGGGGTCTTGGGCAGAACACTTTTTTTAATCATAGACAGCTTCTGTACCTCTTGAATTGTGTATGACCTCTTAAAAAAAATTAACCTGAGGAAAAAATGGTATTTTGAGATGAACCGTCTGCCATTTTTCCTCCTATGTCAGCAAAGTGATAAATTCTCCTGTCCTCCTTCTCAACAGAAAAAAAAAAAAATAACCCTATGCCTTGCAAGGCTCTTAGGCATGAGCTGAGAGGGCTGGGAGGCATGGCCTTGGTAATTCTAGGCTAGAAAACATTTAAGGGAGCTGTTAGAAAATCTTACCCAGCCATAAAAATATCTTTGTAAAACAGTCACAGGATACCTGCCTAAGCAACATAACTTCCTACCAGGCTTTCCTTCCAAGCTACACAGAGACACTTCCATAGCTGGCTGAGCTGACTTAAGATGGCCAAGAGAAAAGCATTACAAGGCACAGAAAGACGATATACAAAGATCCTGGGATGTGTAGGGATGGGGGCTAAGGGCAGGAGAGGAACATGAACAACTAAAGGAAAGCCAACATGACCAGGATGGCAAGAATGAGGAGAGGGCAGCTCAAGGTGAGGCTGCAGAGGAAAGTGAGTCAGGCCCAGACATGTGGGGTCTGGATAAGGAGGTTTTCCTTTAGCCTAAGGCAGTGGTTCTCAACCCTCCTAATGCCACGGCCCTTTAATACAGTTCCACAGGTTGAGAACCAGTGGCCTAAGGATAACAGGGAGCCACTCAAGACTAATGAGAAAGGGAATTAACATTTTTCAAAATTGTAGAACTAATCAAGTCACCCCTCTGCTTTAAGTTCTGTAACTGCTCGTCATTATTCTACATGTGGAACCCTGTCTGAGAAGGCCAACTCCAATTTACTAAGGGAGACAAGTGTTGCATAGTACCTAATATGAGTTTAGGAAGCCAAAAGATTCCTAAATGTTTTTAGGAAGAGTAAAGTGTTCTTTGAAAAGTAGGATTCAAGTGTGCTGTAATACAATTAGAGGGATGTCTCCTCAAGAGATTTGATCAAAGCAAAGAGATAGGCAGGAATCCCAACCCAAAATTTGGAAGGAGACTTAATGATTCTTCAGGAAAGATCTCTTTCCTGGTCTTTTAGGAAGGGTTTTTATTTTATTTTATTTTTAGAGACAGAGTTTCACTTTGTTGCCCTCAGTAGAGTGCCATAGTGTCACAGCTCACAGCAACCTTCAGCTCTTGGGCTTAGGCAATCCTCTTGCCTCAGCCTCCGGAGTAGCTGGGACTACAGGTGGCCACCATAACGCCTGGCTGTTGTTTGGCCGGGGGCGGGTTCGAACCTCCACTCTCAGTATATGGGGCTGGTGCCCTACTCACTGAGCCACAGGCTCCATCCTAGGTAGGGTTTTTAGTAAATCATATTACATGAGCTGGAGTCATTAGGAATAAAACACATCAGTAAGAGTATTAAATGACTTCATAATTAAAGTAATCACACATTTCTAATTAAATTATTAACGGAAAGGTACATATAAAATCAAAAATAACTGCAGCTCAAGGTGGCAATTCCAACATATGCTAAGAAATTTAACTGCATTTTTAATAACAGATTTATAGAATATTGCTGTCCCTTTAGGAAGACTTCGACCATCCACTGTTCTGAAGAATAGTCTTACAACAAACTGGAAAAATATATTGATCTCTGCTTCCACTTCATTTCTCCAAGATGTACCAAATAATGTCAGCACTGAGGTCCAGGTTAATTAGAAAAACACTCAGCCCTCTGTATCCATGGTTCTACATCTGTGGATTCAAACAACCCTAGATGGAAAATATTTAGGTAACAACGAATGGTCGCATCGGTACTGAGCATGTATAGACTTTTTTCTTGTCATTATTCCCTAAACAATACAGTCTAACAATTATTTACATAGCATTTACATTCTACCAAGCATTATAAAGGGTAGGGAATCTGCGGCTTCCTGATTTCAAGATTGTTCTTTTTTAAGCACCAAAGAAGACAAGAAAAGCTTCATCTTTCTCTGTTGCACCTTTAATTAAAGGACTATGTATAAGTTGGATTCAGTCAAAAGGCCAAACTGAAGGACCAGGAAGGCCACTTGTTTCCTTAAGGTCACAGGTTCCCAACCTCCGAATGGTGAGTGATGACTATACTTCAATAGAAAACAAAAGGTTACTTCAAGGGTTCACACAATGATTTGAATTTGATATGAGATCTGAAGGGAACAGTGTCCTAAAAACACCTGAGTTACTAACACTACAAATTAGTCTACTGTCCAAAGACCATGAATAATGAGTCAGAAAAAGTTCTGAGCTGATTGACCCCTTTTAGTTTTCACTTGTGATTGGATCATACCTTACACACGATCTCTATACCACAAGAATTGTCTCCATGGCTCTGTGCTCCAATCTTCTCAACTCTGCTGATCACTCCAAGGGGAACATCAAGGATGAAATGTGGATCCTAGGTTTAAAATTAAGATTAATGCATTAAATCAATGTCAGTCAACTGAGTTTTCATATTTTAAGTCTTTGCTAGGTTACAAAACATATTTGTTTACTTTGAATTCTCTCTGTCCCAGCCCATAAACTGAAGTCTGAGTTATTGCATGCTTTATGAAGTATATACTGAGAGTACAATGAAATTTCCCCTCTAGGTTAAGTGGTACCCCAAAAGCCTTTTTCTCAAGATACAAAATCTGTGTGCAAATGTGCACAACTTAAAACTCACCCTCTGGCTATCTCAGAGTGATGGGATGTTAGGGAATTTTCCTTGATTCTTTTAGTGTTCTGAAGTGTTTTTAAAAATAAAGCACACTTTTAAAAACTCACCCTCTCTACACTTTTGAAGTACATCTTAAAGTCCGTCACTGTCAGGGTTCCACTCACTGCTCCCATAAATGGGCAGATATACATGACATCTTTCACTGAAAGAAAAATCCCAAAATAGCAACCACTGCCATTGACTTGTGCTTCAATAAATTTGAACATGAGTTTCCAAATATGTGTGTGTATACACATGCATACATACATACATATACAAATATATATTTGTGATTCTAATTTTCTAGACATTTTAAATTTTATAAGTGATTAGAGAAATTATTGCTCTAAATAAAGACACAGATGAATAGTCTTCTAATAAATTTCAATTTTTCAAACAAAATTCTGATTTGCTAGTTAATAAGGTTTTAAGTGAAAATCCTCTTAGCAAGTTACATTTTGTCATTATTTTTCCATGTAGTTAACATTTTCCCAGGGTGGTAAACTAATCATATTCAAAACATTAAACTCTGAAGACCCTGAGCTACCATTTCATAAATTGCTATATGACTTAAAACTAATGAAAGATAAACACTGTTCCTTAAAGTGTCCCAAAGGAAATTACTTCAGAGATGACACAAAGTAGAACTTTACCAATGAAGTAGAAAAAGACTTGTTTCAAGTTCTTTATCAGCTTCCACATCAATTTTCATTTCCCTTTATTAATATCAATAAAGTACACAACATACTTAATTCCTGAGAGCATTAAGAAGCTCCCATCTAGCACAAATATACAACTTCATGATTTTCCCAAAGTGCCATTCCACTGGAATGACAAGAAAATAGATTACAGATGTGTAGTCACAAGTCAAACAATGAAAAGTACTACAGTTGTCATTTAGCCAAATTATTAAAACACTTCCAATAGACTTTTCTAGAACTCATTATGTACTGGGTGCCTTATATTGCTAGGATTCTAGGTATAATTGGTGGACACAGTTCCTGCTCACAAAATGTAAAATCCAAATAGATGAAAACAAATGAAGCCCCCCTAGCAACACTGATAAGCCAATTAAGTTAAAACTTGCACAGGTGAATCATAAAGGAAGCTGTCAACTGTGTCTCTTGGAAGTGAAATAATGGACCATATCACTGTCTCAAAATTTTCATAGTAACCTATGTATAAAATTTATATGGTCTAAATGCCCCGAGTAAAAGGCAGAGATTATCAAATTGGCAACCAAAGAAAGCCCCAACTATATGTGGCCTGAAAGAAACCCATTTTAAATAGAAAGACAGAAATAGTTCAAAATTCAATGGATGAAAACACTTTTGAAATTCAAAAGTATATCATGTTAATACTAACGATGAAAGCCGTAATGTCCATAATATCAAACAAAGTAGATTTCAGAGCAGACCATATTACCAGGAACAAAGATCATTTCATAATAATATAGGAGTCAATTCATCAGAAGGAAATAATCCTAAACATTTAAGTACCTTATAACAAAGCTTTAAAATAGACGAAGCAAAACCAATAGAACTGCAAAGAGAAACAGACACATCCACAATTATAGTCAGAGATTTCAAAACTCATCTCTCAATATTGCGTAGAAGTAGACAGAAAATGAGTAAGGAACACAGAAGACATGGACAACGCTATTGACAAAACCTAACTGACATTTATAGAACACTACTTACTCAACAGCAGAAAACACATTCTTCTCCAGGGCACACAGAACATTTATCAAAAAAGACCATATTCTGGGCCACAACACAAGTCCGGATAAATATAAAAATATTCAAGTCATACAAAGTATCATTTCTAAATACAATGGAATGAAAGTAGAAGTCATGCTCACCATCCTTAATCATCAGAGAAATGCAAATCAAAACTACTCTGAGGTACCACCTAACTCCAGTAAGATTAGCCCATATCACAAAATCCCCAAACCAGAGATGCTGGCGTGGATGTGGAGAAAAGGGAACACTTCTATACTGCTGGTGGGAATGCAAACTAATACGTTCCTTTGGAAAGACATCTGGAGAACACTTAGAGAACTAAAAATAGACCTGCCATTTGATCCTGCAATTCCTTTATTGGGCATTTACCCAGATGACCAAAAATCACATTACAACAAAGATATTTGTATTGGAATGTTAATTGCAGCCAATTCAGAATTGCCAGGTCATGGAAGAAGCCCAAGTGCCCATCGATCCATAAATGGATCAATAAATTGTGGTACATGTACACCATGGAATACTATGTAGCCATAATGAAAGATGGAGACTTTACCTCCTTCATGTTTATATGGATGGAATTAGAAAATGTTCTTCTTAGCAAAGTATCACAAGAATGGAAGAAAAAATATCCAATGTACACAGCCCTACCATGAAACTAGTTTATACCTTTCGTATGAAAGCTATAACCTAATTACAGCCTAAAAATTTAGGGAGGGGGAAGGGGCAAGGGAGGGCAGAGGGGTGGATGGGTGGAAGGAGGGTGATTGGAGGGATCACCTCTATGGTTTGTCTTACAGGGTACAAGTGAATCTTTCTAAGAGTAGAGTATAAATGTCTTAACACAATAACTAAGAAAATTGACATAAAGGCTATGTTAACCAGTTTGATGAAAATATTTCAAATTGTATATGAAAACACCACACTGTACCCCATGATTACATTAATGTACACAGCTATCATTTAATAAAAAAAAAGTAGAAGTCAATAACAAAAGAAAATTTGGAGAATTCACAAATATGTGCAAATTAAATAACACACTCCTAAATAACAAAAGGATCAAAGAAGAAACAAAAGGAGAATGCAAAAGCACTTTTAACTGAATGAAAATAAAAACACAAGGTCATAATTGGCAAGATGCTATTAAAGCAGCTCTTGGAGGAAAATCTAAATGCCCGTGCTAGAAAAGAACAAAGGTCTCAAATCAATGACTGTAGTTTCCAGCTCAAAAACTGGAAGAAGAGTGAATTAAGCCCAAGGTAAGCAAAAGACAGGAAATAATAAATACCAAAGTCGAAATCAATGAAAAAAAATGAAACCAAAAGCTAATTCTCTGAGATCAATAAAACTGATAAACCTCTAATCAAACTGATCCGGAAAAAAAGAGAAGACATATATATTAACCATCAGAAATGAGAAAGGGTGATGTCACTACATATTCTACACATATTAAAGAAATAATAAGGAAATATGATAAATGTCTAACAATCATCTGACAACTCAGATTAAATGGACAAATTCCTAAAAAGACAAAATACCAAAACTTACCCAAGAAGAAAAGAAAAAGCTAAATATTCCTATAGCTGCTAAAGAAATTAAAATTATAGTTAATAATAAAACCTTCCCTCAAAGAAAACTCAAGATCCAGGTGATTTCACTGGTAAAACTACCAACTATTCAAGGTAGAAATAAACTCCCCAAAAACTGAGGAAAAGAGAATAATTCTTAATTTAGTTTTTGAGGCCAGCATCACTCTGATACTAAAATCTGACAGAACTATTAACCACAAAACTTCAAACCAATATCTCATAAATACTGATGCAAAACAATATTTTAATAATTAAAAAATATGACAGCCCCCATAGCTCAGTGGGTAGGGCACCAGCCACATACACCCAGGCTGGTAGGTTTGAACCCAGCCCTGGCCAGCTAAACAACAATGACAACTGCAATAACAACAACAACAAGAAAATAGCCAGGCATTGTGGCAGGCACCTGTAGTCTCAGCTACTTGAGAGGCTGAGGCAAGAGAATTGCTTAAGCCCAAGAGTTTGAGATTGCTGTGAGCTGTGTATGCCATGGCATTCTACCCAGGTGACAGCTTGAGACTGTCTCAAAAAATTAAAATAATAAACCAAATTCAATAACATATAAAATGGATAACATAACAAGCAAGTTGAGTTTATCCTGGGAATGCAAGGTTGATTTAACATTCAAGAATTAATTGATATAAAGGCTGGACGTGTGGCCCACACCTACACCTATAATCCTAGCACTCTGGAGGCCATGGAGGGACCCCTTGAGCTCAAGAGTTCAAGACCAGGCTAAGCAAGAGTGAGACCGTCTTTAAAAATAGCCAGGCACTGCAGTAAGTGTCTGTAGTCCCAGCTATTTGGGAGTCTGAGTCAAAAGAATCGCTCAAAACCAAGAGATTGAGGTTGCTGTGAGCTATGATGACTCGGCATTCTTCCCAGGGCTAGAGTGAGACTCTGTCTCAACAAAAGTAAATAATATCCATTACTAATAAAAACTTCCAACACACTAGGAATAGAAAGGGACTTCCTAAACATGATAAAGGGCATCCACAAAAAACTACAGATTAATATCATACTTAGTGATGAAAGACTAAAAGCTTTCCCAAGATTAGGAACAAGACAAGAATGTCTGCTCTCTTGTGCACTGTGAAGGTCACTGGAGTCACTTGCCTGCTGCCAGCACATCCACTCCCCACCAGCCCCAGCCATGCCCTCTGCCCTCACCATGCCTGCTGGTGCTGTTCTCTGCTGCAGCTTCAGCACCTTGGCCCAAAACAATGCTAAGGTAGCTGTGCTTGGGGCTTCTGGAGGAACTGGGCAGCCCCTTATTGAGCTACCTGACCCACTACGACATAGGTCATAAACCCAGAGTGGCCACAGATCTGATTTACATGGAGACCAGAGCAACTGTGAAAGGCTACCTTGGACCTGAGCAGCTGCCAGACTGCCTGAAAGGATGCAATGTGGTGGTTATTCCAGCTGGAGTCCCCAGGAAACCTGGCATGATCCAGTATGACCTGTTCAACACCGGTGCCACAATTGTGGCCACCCTGACTGCTGCCTATGCCCAGCGTTGCCCTGAAGCCATGATCTGCATTGTCACCAATCGGGTTAACTCCACCATCCCAATCACAGCAGAAGCTTTCAAGAAACATAGAATATAGAACCTCAATAAAATCTTTGGTGTGACAACCCTGGACATCATTAGAGCTAACACCTTTGTTGCCAACTGAAGGGTTTGGACCCAGCTCAAGGTAACGTCCCTGTCATTGGTGGCCATGCTGGGAAGACCATCATCCCCTGTTCTCTCAGTGCACCCCCAAGGTGGACCTTCCCCAGGATCAGCTGATGGCATTCACTGGGCAGATCCAGGAGGCTGGCACAGAGGTGGTGAAGGCTAAAGCTGGAGCAGGTTCTGCCACCCTCTCCATGGCATATGCCAGTGCACGTTCATCTTCTCCCTTCTGGATGCAGTGAACGGAAAGGAAGGAGCTGTCGAATGTTCCTTTGTTAAGTCACAAGAAATGGACGGTACCTATTTCTCCACACTGTTACTGCTGGGAAAAAATGGCATTGAGAAGAATCTAGGCATTGGCAAAGTCTCCTCTTTTGAAGAGAAGATGACTACTGAGGCCATTCCTAAGCTGAAGGCCTCAATCAAGAAAGGAGACGACTGTGAAGAACACGAAGTGAGACACAATTGTGGCAATCAGTTTCCTTATTTTATTAAGGCATCATGTCACTGTTAAGCCATTTCATATACCTTTGTATTTTAATTCATTTTGATGATTATCAATATAGTACCCCTTCTGAAGTGTGGGTGAGTCTATCGGCACATCAATAAAAGCAGTCTGTGATTGCCCTTTTTAAGGCCTCTTCTATAAACTTTGCGCTTTCTCCCCCATGAGAGCTGACTTCAATGTCTGTTACTTTAAAAAAAAAAATCCCATTCATGCTAATGTCACCTCTTTTCATTACAAATTAGAATTAGTGGGTTTGTTTTGTTTTGTTTTGTTTTGTTTTTTTGAGACAGTCTCACTTTGTTGCCCTCACCTTTGGTAGAGTGCTGTAGCGTCACAGCTTGCAGCAACCTCAAACTCTTGGGCTTAAGCAATTCTCTTGCCTTAGCCTCCCAAGTAGCTGGGACGTACAGGTGCCCGCCACAATGCCCAGACATTTTTAGAGATGAGGTCTTGCTCTGGCTCAGACTGGTCTCAAACTCGTGAGCTCAGGCAATCCACCCACCTCAGCCTTCCAGAGTGCTAGGATTACAGGCGTGAGCCATCGCACCCAGCCCCAGAATTTGTGTTTAACTATTAGACTGAAGCGTGGTGGTCTCTTCAGTAGCTTCAAGGAAGTCTAAAATGTTTATTTCTGAACCAGGACAAAATATTCACAGTTTCTCAGTATGTACTGCTCCCAACCCTTCTCTCTGCACCGTTCTATCACTCAGGTGTATAAACTGGAAGAAGGGGCAACTTCTGAGCCTTTCTTGGGGTCATTCACCTCATGGGGTAATAGGTCACTGGCTAATGCCCAGAGCCATTTTTTTGTCCCTAAGCTACTGTTGTAATTTCTGGCTAAGCAAACACACCATCTTCTGCTTGAGCTGCCTTGGCAGACCTCGGCTGACCTCTATCCCCCTCTGAATTTTATCTTCTGACTGATCCCTGATGTTCAGTGACAGAGAAGAAAGCAGAGGAGGGGTGCACAAAACCAAAACTCAGCTTGCTGTATCAATGCCATGCTATGTGTCATGAAAAGGTGGTTTCAGGTTTTCTTCAGTGGCCTAAAGAAAGGACTTTGTTGGATTGAGGAGCAGGGCAATTAGAGATTTGACACCCTTTGGTGCTGGGGGCAGATGGTTCCCCAGAAGCTGTGTCCTCTGCAATGGAAATGGAGGTCTTTATACCTGAGAAGGAATTTTCCAGCAAAAGGTGATGATCTTCCATTTTATGGTAGAAGAGGAAAGGAGGGGAAGTATGTCCAGTGGATAGATGCTTATTTATCCACAACAGCTTTTTCTTAACTAAAACTGAAATAGGTTCTATCATAAAGGATGAAATTACTGTTTTCTTATAAGAGTAATTTTCATTGTATAAAAGCTAAAAGTAGCTAAAAAATAAAGCAAGCCAGTAACAATTAAGAAAATGAATGTTTGCTCTCACCTGTTCTCTTTTTAATATTATACTAGAGGTTCAAGCAAGAGTTAAAAAGAAAAAAAAGGAAAGAAAGAAAAGGCGTTCCGATTGGAAAGGAAGAACCAGAATGCTCATACACTATTGGTGGGAATATATACAGGTACAACCACTTTGGAAAACACTTAGCAGCTTCTTAAAGAAACTGTATACCTACCATATGATCCAGCCCCACCATTCCTTAAGTATTTACCCAGGAGAAAAGGAAATCTATATCCATATAGACTTGCACATTAATGTTTGCTGTAGCTTTCTTTGCAATAGCCAAATAGTAGAAGCAACCCAAATATTCACCAACAGATGAATGGATAAGCAAACTGTCAGGTATCCATATGATGAAATTATATTAGCAATAAAAAGGAATTAACTGTTAATCTATGGTACGACATGGTTGAATATCAAAATAATTGTCTGACTGGAAGAAGCTACACACAAAAAAGATACTCTATGATTACATTTATGTAAAACACTAGAAAACATAAACTAGTCCGTAGTGTGGAGATGGGGGAAATGGCAGGAGAGGTAGGGATTATAAAGGGGCATAAGGAAATGGAAACTTCAGAGAGATGACAGATATGTTCATTACCTTGACTGTGATGATAGTTTCCCAGCTGTACATAGTGTCAAAACTCTTTGCATTCTGACAATGACAAACTGAAGTAAACTCCATGGGGAGTACTTTAGTTTACAATAACCCATTTTAATACTTTGCCTCTGGGAATATATTTTATTTAAAAGTAGAGCTTAGGGAGTGCCTGTAGCTCAGTGGTTAGGGCGCCAGCCACATTCTCTGGGACTGGCAGGTTTGAACCTGGCCTGGGCCTCTTAAACAAACAAAAAAGTAGCCAGACACTGGCAGGTGCCTGTAGTCCCAGCTACTTGGGAGGCTGAGGCAAGAGAATTGCTTGAGCCCAAGAGTTTGAGGTTGCTGTGAGCTATGATGCCACAGCACTCTATCCAGGGTGACAAAGTGAGACTCTGTCTCAAATAATAATAATAATAATAATAATGATAATAAAAGTGGAAATTAATTTACTTATCCTTTCCAAGCCACTAGAGCAGTGGTTCTTAACCTTCCTAATGCTGCAACCCTTTAATATAGTTCCTGTGGGTCGCAACCCACAGGTTGAGAACCACTGCACTAGAGGGCTATAAAGAACACTTATATTGCTTAACATCTAAGATATTTCCAATAACAGATTGGAATGGGACCAGGTGGAAGCTTCTCTATCTCTGAGCTGTTTTCAGAGTGAAAGTAGAAGCAACAGGAGAGATAGCACACCTGGCCACACCTGGATCCACAGAAGTCTTCTTTTCTTACTAAGACAACTGTGAGCTTGCAATCCAAATTTTTATAACACTCCTTGCTAATTCAAAATGTGTCTTTGATGTACAAAGTGATCAATTAACCTATATCAGTTCTAATCTCTTTTAAGTTGATTTTGGCCCAATGATAAAGACAAAAATGAAGTGAAAAAACCCTCTTCACATTGTACACTTAAAATCTGTGAGGTTTACGGTCTGGAAAAGCAGCAGGTGTATGACATAATTAGCTCTGCATTTTAAACAGCTCATTCAGAAAGCAGCACGTGGACAGGCTAAAAGAACACCCACCTAGAGAAGGAACACTCAGGCAAGAAGACAACCAGTAGAGAATGAAGTCTCAGAACCCAAGGAAAGATTTTTAAACCAAGAATAAGGGCAGTATAAGCATGGGGCAGAGGCCGAGACTAGGACATGTAGCAGTAGCACTTGTTTGATGGTTCTGGGAGGAGAGCCCAGCTACTCAAACGTTCTTTTTTGGCGGGGGGTTTATGTTACTAGAAATGTGAACAGTAAAGGTCATTCTGGTGAGGTTTCAGATGTTAATGAGGAGCATCTTAGTGAACAATGGAGGAAAGGTGACCCTTATTATAAAGTAGCAAAGAACTTACTCAAATGTTCTTGACACAATGATCATAGTCTGAGATGCACACACATCTCTGGGAGGCAGCCATGAAGGAAAAGGGAAACACTCAGGCTATAGAACCAGACTGTCTAATTCAACCAAGTGAAAAGATGAAAAGGTTATACACAGCTGTCCCTCTCATCCACCCATGGCACAGTCGACTGCCTCCTGAAATGCCTAGCAATATACCATAGAGGGCTACGGGATCCCTCATGTCATCACCATCACAAGCCAGCATGGCAACACATGCCCCTTTCTTGCACTGAAATTATACTTTTGGAAACTTACAAGCCACTAAAATTTCCTTGACAAGTTCTTAAAACTTACTAAAATAAGATATGGATCTTCTATCAATACAGTCTCCTTACACTGAAGGATTCCCATAAACCAGTGAACTGACATTACTTGGAGTGTGTAATCAGCTTCCAGTTCATCATGAAAAGTCAGACCCTTCTTCTACTGGAAATGCCATCAAGTACCCAACTGGACCTTAAGAGGATCCTCTCTACAGTTTTATATCTCTTACACCATGATGACACTAATGACAATGAGTAGATCGAGTTCATTTGTCTCCTAATTAAATCAGTCTGGCTGATCTGCAGCACATAAATCACCTGTATTGGAAAATAAAGTGCCATTTCATGCTGTGGATCTCTACAAGCAAAGTGTACACATTAAACTTACCAATGGCCTTAATTGATTCTCCTGGAAAAAGAGATGCTTCTTCCATCTGGGCCAACTTATTTCCATCCCTTAGAGCCTGGTAAAGAACCAAATAGGAGTTAACTCTCACTTTCTATCTGCATACCTGAGAATTTTGGTGTTCTGTGCTGTCCCTATAAGGCTACAGACATGTGCAAAATGTAAGCCCCACTCCCCTTAAAAGACGATTTCAAAGCTCAGCATCACAGGACATCATGCTGCATATTCTAGCAAATTGTTACAAGATATTTAAATTTCACAGTTAAAAAGCATTAAGACAGAAATGGCTTGACATGACAGATACTGTAATCACTACACAGATAGCTATTGTAAGATGCCTCTAGAATTTGGAAAATAAGGTCACAAAAAGGTTACCTTCTGAGTGTGAAACTAATACAAACAGAATCAACATCACATGTAGGTGTTTAGCTAGTTGCAGAAATAACGCAGCCTATGAGATAGTTTGGGAAAGCCAGAAGTCTAAAAATAACCAGGGAATGGTCTCAGGATACTATATAAGTAAGGAAAGCCCTGTGCTTTGGTATTCCAACTACCTCTCTGTGTGTGCGCATGTGTGCATGGGTACAGGGACACACATGCATGCACAAAGTGTATGTGATGGGGGCATGAAGGGTGAGACTTTCAGTGTTCACCCAATCTGGCCAGGAGAGAGTATTTCAATCCCTACTGCACAGCAGGGTGTGCTCATCAGGCACCTCCCTAGGCCAGTTCACTTTACACCCATTTCATGCTCACCAAGAAAACTGCTAGTGACTTATTAGGGGTTTTGCCTACAATTTTACTAGGAAAGGGATGTCCTGAATGGCTGGAAAAACACACACCCACATTTTTAAATGACCAGATTGGCAATACAGCCCAGTATCCAGTCTCTTGTAATTTTGGTTGGATAGTGCCAGATAACTCAGGGGAGGTGACAAAATGGTGTTCTTGAACTATAAAACTAAGGACCAGAGCCTGAACCTGGGGCCTATTCTAGGTGCTGCCGCCCTATGAGATGCTGCCAAGGAAACCAGTCACTTTCTGCTTGACATCTCTGACTTAATGTGTCATGAATAGGAATAAGGTGATCAAAACCCCATTTCTCAAGCTGTGTTTCATGGAGTATTAATTTCCCAAAAGATGTAAATCCTTTTTTCTTTAAGTTTGGGAAATGCTAGGTTAAACAAGTTAAGCAGTTGTTTTAGTGAGACAAGCCTTTAGTGTGTTAATGTACATGGAGTCAGCAAGAGGGTGCTAGAGTATAATGCATTTCTCATACCTAGTTTATCAGGGGCTGCTTTTTCCAAGGAACACCTGTTAACATCAGAGGTCACTAGTGTTCAGTGGAAAACAGATCTGACAATACTAAGTTTTCAGCATAATTTTGTAAAGCAAGACATTTTAAAATAGATGTCTGTGATAATTCCAATCTAAATTATTGAAAATTCAAAATAAACAGTATTTTTCATAGTTACCAGAATATGTTCATATGTTTTATTAAACGGACTTAACAGTCAATTTAGAAACACTATACACAGTAGTTTCATCACATTCTATAAGATAAAGGAAAAAATTGAAACCATAAAGAGCAAAATTAATGCTAAATGTTTGCCAGAGATATGTCTGTTTTGTACTGGGAGGGCACAAAATGACATGGTCCAATCTCCTTCCTTATCAAAAGAAGCATGGTTCAGATAATACAGATTGGGAGTCATCATTACCTCCAAATAATTTATTCAATTTAAAATTTTAATCCATATTTTTAAGACATTTTCAGCCAATTTTTTTGGGGGGGGTAATTAACACATTAAAAGGGCTGTAGAACAATCATTTGTGGCAGGCGTCCTCATACAACGGCCTATGGGCCACATGTGACATTTATCCAGCCCTCTGGGTGTTTTTGCCGCTGCTGCCTGTCCTGCTTAGCAGCCAACTCATCCCAGGGCCCACAGTCTGAGGGACAGTGAACTGGCCCCCTATTTAAAAAGTTTGAGGACCCTTGATTTATGGATTCAATTTTATACTCACATCTGATTTGGAAATCTACCTTTATACACACATGCAATAAAGCAGAAGCCAACACGTACACTTTTAGTGTTTCTAAAACTGGACATTTAAAATAGCAGTCTTAATAAAAGCCTTAATTTGAGTCTGCTTTATCACCTGACCTAATTTTATAACATATTTAGAAAGTACAAAAGCTATTTTAATCAATATCAGGTTTATTTCAAATGTTACATTGTTAAACCTTTTTTTATGGCCAAATATTATATTGTACATAATTCCTTAATTTACATTTCAAAATAAATGGAGATAGATGATTTGGAAATATACTTACTAACATAAGCTACTTTAATCAACTGAATCTGGAGGAGGTTGGGTAAGACATGACTCCCTTTACATTTTAGCGCAAGCCCCAAACATTTTAATGTCCTCCACCACAGGAGTAGCTAACAAAATGTCACAGATGGGAGATGGAGGTGACTGGGACTATTTGAAGAATGCACAAGGCTGTCAAGGTAGAGGCTGCCACTTAAACATTTCTTTTCTCTTTCCATAGTCAAGTTTGGCTTAAAACACCTGGGCATTTCTATGAGGCATGAATGTTGGTGAGACACAGTAAGACAAACTTCTCAGTAGTGATAATTAAATCTGGGACATGCTTTTTAAATGATGAAAAGCAATGAAACAAATGATCTGACTGCTTCAGATTTCCCCATAAGAGGTTCATTTTGTAAAAGAAACACATATAGCTTTAGCATAGGCGCTTAAGAGAACAGTTTTTAAAGGCTTTTTTGGTTGTTTGGGTGAGTACAGTAGATTCCCTTTTATAAAGCTGGTGTTAGAAGATGGGACTTACACTGTGCTATATTAAGCTCTTACTGCAACTACCATGTTGCACAGGACATGATTTGACCCTTGATTTATCCAACCCATGTTCAACATAATCAAAGGATAGAATATTCTTGTAAACTAAATTTGATCTCATAAACACACTCCACTGAGTGCTTTTGTTCAAAGGTTGCCCAGCTGAAAATTCTTTCTGAAAAACTTATCTCAACTGTGTTCCAATGACCCTGAAGGTCCAGCTGAGGTCTGCCAGATCCCTGAATTTGTCCCTGAGGGCTCTAGCCCACCTGCAAGACCCCACTGGTCTCTTCCACTACTTTTCTCCACCACCTGAATCTAAGCTATCAAGTGGATAGTTTACATAATGACTCAAAGCAGTGGTTTTCAAATTGGGCCCTTGGAGGTGCTTCTGGGGGGTGGGGGTCACCAGAGGAGGGTGGGACTGGGCGGTGGTAGACACAGGCACAGCTGGGGCTTCTCTGAAACTGCCCTTCTATCAATTTCACAGATTGCATTTCTACATAAGCATTGAGTAAAGTACTGCTGCTTTAGAAAAGTCCAGAGAGGGTCTAGAGGTAATGAGCAAAGAGTAAACACTCAAGGATATTCAATGAATGAGTATTATTCTGATGAATAAATATAAAATATATGTACTCATTCTACAAATACCTACAAGGTACCAGGTACCATACTGGCACAGAGCATGTAAATTTAAATACGCCAAAGCCCGCACCTTCAAGGAACACCTTTAGAATGTGTTATCTGTCCCCTCTATGTCTTTGTAAAAGAACTGTGGAATCCTGCAGTGATGGAGTGTCATTATCCTCATTAATAACCCTATCTGGGGAAACCAAGAAGCACAGATGAACAAATTTCTAGTTGACAAAATGTTGGATAAACCAATTTTTGCAAATAATGTCATAATGGAATCTACCAAATTTGGACAGGAGGGCACTATTGTAGTGGTAAAAGCATCTGGAATGCTTTGCTTATCATCTAGAAATCTAGTATGAAATGGCTTTTAAATACATGATCTGTAGCTACAAACAGATGAACATGTAGAACTTGCCACCTGATCAGCTTCAGCTTCAGAAGGGTAGCCATTGTGTTCTTCCTGAATCTCCTGCACAGCACCAGGTGCATGACAAAGAAAAGGCAAAGAGGAGAAAGAGAAACACGTGCAAACAGACAGGTGAAAGGACAGAATTTCTTTTTTAAGGAGACAGTAAGCATGTAAAAGTTGACATGCCTTTCACGGCTTTACAAATCACAACACTTTCCCCCTTTGGGGTTAAGGAAAATAACCTGTGGGCCGTCTACAGCATCCTTGGCCTAAAATGGAGTATCTATTCTGTGTTTGTGTTGGAGTAGAAAAATGGAAAGCAAACAAACATCATGGATTTCATAGAATGTACTGTCATTTTTTAAGTCAAGCAATACTATAGCATATAGCAAAAAAAAAACAAAAAAAAAAACAAAAAAAACAGGCTCACATAAAATAAAGCAACCACAGAAACAGGTAAAGGCCAAAGTCAAGCCAAAATACAAAGGCAATTCAAAGACACGTATTTTAAACACAGTAAGTATTCAAATACTTTAAAGAACGATTATATTGCCCAGGGATCAATTCCAATGCACACATGCACATATCACGTGTGTTAGAGATTATACACACACACAAATGTCCATTATTGCTTATTTCTAATCCTGTTATTTATGAATCAATATCATATTAAATGTTTCTAATTATTTTATCAACATGCTTCAAAGACATAGCTAAAAGGTCACAAATTCTTATAAAATTTTTTCCAATCCCTTTAAAGGTGTATTGTTCTTAATTTCTCCATAGAATCATTTTTTTTAAGTTTAAAAATTGAGGCTGGGTATAGTGGCTCACGTCTATAATGCCAGCACTCTGGGAGGCCATATCACTTGATCTTAGGAGTTCAAGAGCAGCCTGAGCAAAAGTGAAACCCCGTCTGGCCAAGCATGGTGGTGCACACCTGTAATCCTAGCCACTCGGGAGGCTGAGGCAGGAGGATCACTTGAGCTCAGGAGTTTGAGGTTGCTGTGAGCTATGACTCCACAGTACTCTAGCCTAGAGCAACAGAGTCAAACTCTTTGCCTTGAAAAAGAAAAATAAATAAAGTTTAAAAATTGGACTTTTAATTCAGCAGGTAGTATAAAGAAAATGCATACTGAAAACAA